ATTAGTCATATGTATTTAATGTTCATGTATGTTGTCCAGCTGGCGTGGCTCAGTGGTTGAGCATCGACCTATGAACCAAGGAGGTCACGGTTCCGTTCACAGGCAGAGACACATGCTGGGCCATAATGATGACAATGATGCGAAGTTATGACAAGTCAGTGACAGGATGAAAGTTATCGATTGTTACTAGTGTTCAGTGGACAGGTCCCCACATCCATCTCTGTCAGGCTGGGCATCCCAGCTGCTATCCCCATGGGTGCCTTCACGTCCAGGGCAGGCTCCCTCTCTTCACGGTTCTCTCCCCGCCTCTCCCCGCACCCTCCCCAGATACCCCGGGCTTTTCAACAAGTTCTGTGGCAGCTGGAGATGCGGACTTAACGGAGGGCGTGTGACACGGAGGCAGCCCAGACGGCACACGTTCAAGCAAAGTTTGGTCCTGCAGCTCTGTGAGCAGTGGGGACGTCACAGGAATGAAACACAGCTCAGGTAGAAACAAGGTCACAGTGAGAGCAAGTTCTTAACACGAGAAGAAAGCCTGGCTCTGGAGGGTTAATTCTGAGACATTTTGAAATAGACATTATGAAATTTTAAGAGAATTGACATTAATCACAGGAAATTTTATGTTCTTTTTATATTTTCCCCCCCAGATTATCTTTGAGAGCATGCCCACCAGGTCACATAGCCCATCAGAGTGACTAGGGGTCAAAGGGCACGCCTTATAGTTTAGAAGACTATGGGACCGCTGATGCAGTGCGGTCATTTCCAGATTACTTCCTAGGACTTAATGGGTCATAATTGATGGGAGGAATGTGCGCTGGCACTCCATTTTCACTAGGATAATGGTAATTTTTCAGTAATTGCTCTTTCTTTTTAATGGGATGGATTTCTCAGCATTATTTCTTTTTTATTGAATTTACTGGAGTGACATCGGTTAATAAAATTGTCAGCATTATTTCTGCCTCGAATTTCTATTCAAGGCCAACATGCAGAGAAATATATTAATTGATGGTTGTAAAGGTTTCTAACTTTGAATATAAGATTTAATCTTACCTGCATTTCAGATACGCTGAAGGAATAATGACTGGTAACAGGAGTCACCAAGGTGAGAGAGCTCACAAACATTCGTAGGTCTGTCTCTCCGGAGCTCCCCACCAGCAGTCACGACAGGATATCCTCCACCCCAACGCTTCCATGCCCGCCTCCCAGCGCAGCCACTCCCTTCCCAGCCTGGTAAGCAGGGTCTGTGACTGACCCGCCTGGCTCCTGCCTGACCCTCTGGGCCACCCCCGTCCTCTTCCTGCTGGAAACAGCTCTTACTCCTCTAATAATCAGACGTGATCATCATCAGATCTAACAATCGGATCCTGGCAATTAAAAGTTAGCTATCAAAATAGTAAGAGTTGTTGTGCAGTTTGGGAAGGAAGAAATAAACTGTCTTTCCTCACAGAAGATATGCCTATTTGTGTAGAAATGCCAAAGACTCAAGAACAACAATCTCCTGGAACTGACATGGCTACAGCACGGGCTGCAGGGCTCACACTTAATGCACAAAAGCCATCACTTTCCTACACACCAGCGGGAACCACTGAAATCTGAAATTAACAACCCAACGCCATGGGCATAAGCACCCAAATAAGGAGAAACGCTGAGACCTAAGACTAAGAAATGTACAAAATAAATGTAAGGAAAACCCCCTCACTCATGAAAAGAGTCAGAGACGACCTGAATGGATGCAAAGATGGTCCATGTTCCTGGGGAGGCGACTCAATATTGACCAGATGTCCGTTCTTCCCAACTCGACCTATAGATTCAATGCAATCCAACCAGATTCAAGCAAGTTGGTTTGTGGCTATCGACAGAATGATTCTGAAGTTTCTATGGAGAGAAGCCACGTGCCCAGAGGGGCCAGCACAGTATTGAAGGAGGAGAACAGAGTGGAGGGCCTGACACTCGGGATCTTGACTTATTATAAAGCTGCCGTGACCGGGGGGGGGGGGGGGGGGGGGGGGGTGCGGTTGTTGGTGAAATGATGGACAAGCAGAGCAATGGGACAGAGCAGAAAGCCCGAGCAGACCCCATAAATACAGTCACTTGATCTTTGACAGGCGCAGAGGCAGCACAACGGAGAAAGGACAGTCCCTTTAGCCACGGGAGCCGGAAAAACTGGATAGCTTCTTACAAAAATAAAGCTAGACACAGACCTCACACCCGGCACAGAATTAACTCAAAATGGATCATAGACCTAAATGTGAAACGCAAAATTACAAACTCCAAGCAGATAGCATAGGATAAAACCGAGATGACCGTGGGTATTGGGATGTCTTTGTAGATACAACATCAAAAGGGCTCTTGGTCACGGATGCCCATGCGTGGCTGTGGATGACAGAAGCCATCACAGGCGAGGCAGCTGGTCGACCAGACCATTTCAGACGGAACAGGAGGCAGTGCAGATAAACCGTGAGGGTCTGGTGGCAGGTGCAGCTGCAGGCAGGACAGCCTGGGAGAGGCCATGACAGGGAAAACCAGAGGCCGGGAAGCGGTGATGGAGCCAGGAGGGCTCTGGAGAGCAGTTCTTCCCTCAGGGGCTCGGAGACCCAGGCTGCTCTTCCCCAGGAACATTCCCCCACACTGACCTCCCAGGGGAGCGCATTGCAGGTAGAACGCAGGCAAAGAGGTAAATTATTACCCTCCCCTCCCCAAGAGGGGACAGGCGATTGAGCGGCTTCCAGGCGGGCCTGGGAGACATGCCCAGGGTCGGGGGTTGTCTCATGCCCTTCCTGGCCCGGCAAACAGAAAGCTCAGTGACTTCAGAGAGACTGGGTTCTTTAACCCGTGTGTTCAGAAAGCATCCATCTTCCTGTGGGGCTGAAACCCACATCCCAGAAGGGCAGGAGGGCAGAGGAATAACCTTACATTTAGTGCCAGCGGCTGAGCCCCATCTGGCACTCGCCTCCGGGCCTGAATAGAGGGATCATGACTTTATTTGCTGAAAAGAACTCCGACTGCCCATCCCATTCAGCAGGAGGTGCGGCCCACAGCTCATTTGTTTAAAACAACTTCAGCCCAGAGAAGGCGGGGATTGCAGAGCAATGCCTGAGATGGCAGCGATGACAGACGCTCATTTTCCGCCTGCAGAGTAACTTATTTGGGGAAGAGCTCGCTTTTATTCTCGGGGGAGGAAATGGACGCACTGTGCTCTAACGCTCTTAAATCCTTGCAGTGGTGATACCAGCACGGTGTCTTCCAAACGGGCCTCTGTGCTCAGGCTCACAGCTTAGTGCCAGCGTCTGGGGATCCTGAAGCTTCTCGCGCGTTTCCACGGCAGGGAAGTGTTCTGAACACAGGTTATATTTGAAGTGATCCCTGAAGATGCACCGTGAGTTTTCTGTTCCTCGTCCATCGGCACTGCAAGCTCACAGAGCTGGTGTTCACTTTGCAGTTCATTGGGAGGATTACATTCAGGGTGAACCTCGCCCCGTCTCCCATCCTGTGGCTGCGTTATTTGGCAAACGCCCCGTGAAGCCTCCTCTCTCCAGGGTCCAGGCTTGGGGCTGGACCAGTGCCATGTGCTCAGCAGTCTGGTGAGGAAGCTGCAGGTCGCCACGGCCACAGCATCACAGCTTCCCCTCCTGCCACGAAAATCACCTCTAGGCCTCCCTTCTCCCTCCCTCCCTTATTCCCTCCCTCCCTCCTGTGTCCTCAGCCTGAGAGGGACCATCACACGGGAGCTGGGCTCACAGGACACTGAGCCTATGGCCTCGTGGTCCTGGTGTCTCTGTGGATGGAGGGAGGGGCGAGGACTCGTGGGCAGGCAACTTCTCTGGGAGGGAGAGCTGCCTGCAGGAGGTGGTCACAGGTCACACCCGGACACAGCTCTTGTGATGGCCTCTGGCCTCCAGCCTCCGTCCTGGGTGTGTGCAGCCTCCTCTGCCTTGGCCTTAAATAGACGTTTTTAAGAATCAGAGCCAACTGTCATGGATACAATTGCATTATGAGTCTGCGATGTACAGTTTAGAATTATGCCGTGGCTGGCTGACTCGGTTGCAGTCGGGCATGAATGACAGTGGATGCCCCTAGCTGAGCCCTAGATAACGGGGACTCGGTCCTGCTGGGCTTTGTGTCAGGTTCTCTCCCTCGGGGTCTGATGGGCAGTAAATCCAGATACTCATGTTTCTATCAGCAACGGCTTGAATTCGACTAAGGCTGCAAACTTCACTGACTTCCTTGCAGTTGCTGTTTGATGATGACGGCTGTGACGATAGGGGCTGCTCCTGGCCTTGGAGGGTCGGGGGGCGAGCTGGCGTGCTGTTCACAGAGCAGGGGGCGGGGCTCGACCCAGGATTCGGACACGGAGGGAAACGGGTGCTGCTTCGTGGCGGGGGTAGCCTGTGCTTCTGGGCTTATTTCCTGAGACTTATCCCCGCCAGCTTCACTCACATGTAAGTTAGGCCGACTTGAGTGTGCACGACCTTGTCCTGCCGTCCTGGGATCCCTCTGGGCTCAGAGCAGAAGGGGAACCAGCTCGCAGCTGGCAGCGCCCGGGGACGCGGAGCCCAGCGCGTGCCCAGCAGCGGCCCTGGTGTGAGCTGACGCTGAGGGGCGCGCGGGTGGCGAGGAAAGGGGCTTCTGCGCTCCTCCACCCGCAGCTCCCCGACAGCGGGCCTAGTCCACCGCCCACAGGCCTCCAGGCGCCCCAGGCCCCGCTCGGCGAGCCCGCCCGCACCTGGGGAGCGCGCCCCTCCTCCCGGGGCGGTAGGCGGGGCTCAGGGAGGGGGCGGGGCTCGCGGTTGGCGGGCGGGGCGGGGGCGGAGCTGGCGGGCGGGGAGCAGTGCTTTGGCCCCCTTCCGCCTCGGGCAGCCGAGCGGGAGCCGCAGTCGAATGGGACGCGAACGCTGCGCACGCGGGGCTGGTGCTCGCGATTGGTGGGCGGAGCTCGGGGAGGGGCGGAGCTGGCGGGGGCGGAGCTGGCGGGGGCGGAGCTGGCGGGCGGGGGGCGGAGCTCTGGGCCCCCTTCCGCCGCGGGCAGCCGAGCGGGAGCCGCAGCCGAGTGGGACGCGAACGCTGCGCCCGCGGGGCAGGTGGGTGCTCGCGCGGGGCCCAGGACTGAGCTCGCCCGGCCCGGAGCGCGGCCCCGCCGCGTGGGAGGTGATGATGGCGACAAACCCACGCCCCCGGCCGCCTCCCGCGGGCCCCCGAGCCGCCTGCCGGTGCCCGTACGGGTGAGGGAGCCCTCCGCGCCTCTCCTGACGTGGGGCCCCCTTTTGTCCCGCGCCCCCCCTCACCCGCGCCCCCGGGCAGCGCGGGGCGCTGGCTCTGCGGAGCTGGGGTCTGGGTTCGCCCCCGTTTCTCTGTGAGCGTCCCGGGGCCACCGCCTGGCGGGCCGGGTGCGGAGGTGCCACCTGGAGGGTCGCGGGCGCCTTCCCGGCCAGGAACTCGGGGCTCCTAGCACCGGCTTCCGCGTCTCTTCTTGTCTGCCCCCCACCCCCCATTTTGAAATAACTGAACTTGCGTGAGGAAGAGCCGACATGCGGCTCAGACCTCCGTGAAAAGTTGGTGGAAACGGTCAAGTTGCCACCCGCAGCCCGTGTCCTGGAGGCAGTTAGGAAAGAACCGAGTTCCTGCCGCCGCGGTGACCCCCACCCACCCACCCCCGCGGGGCCTGAGTGACAGTGCCCAGACCCCGGCAGGTGGGGAGCTTCCTGCAAGGTGCTGTTTGTCACATGCCTCTCAGCCGGGCGTAGAGAGCACACACTCACACTCACACACGCGCGCGCGCACACACACACTCACACACTCACCTGTGCACAGGCGGTGCCCCTCCGTCCGTTCCCACCCGCATGGGCCGCAGCACCCTCGCCGGCACCGTGGGCAGCCGGTCTGTTCAAGCCTTTGCAGCTGAGCCCGCGGTGCGGGGGCGGCTCCCCTGGGGACGGGCCGGTGCCGTTGGAAGCAGCTGCCGCTGAGGGCGCGGAGCGGCTGAGGGCAGAAAGCGCTGCTTGGGTTTGGAAAGGAGCGCTCCCGGCGGGAAAGGTCTCGCTGTCCTCCTGTGGTTGCAGCGGGTTTGTCCCGCGCGGAACTCACCGCGCGGATGCGTGTTGGCAGTCACTCCAGTTTTTACAAAGAAATGAACGGCAAGGCCCCCCAATACGCTCCGTGAGCGACTGTGGACTCCGTGGGCGCTGGCTCTGGAGCGCGCCGCCAGGGGGCGCTGGCCGCCCCTCGGCTGCAGGATGGGGTTCGTGCTGCTGGTGGGTTTTTTGTTTTTGGGGTTTTTTTATTTTTTTATTTTTAATTAAATCTTTATTGTTCAGATTATTACATTTGTTCCTCATTTTTCCTCCCCATAACTCCCCTCCTCACAGTTCCCGCCCCACCCTCCGCCCTCACTCCCCACCCAATGTCCTCATCCATAGGTGCACGATTTTTGTCCAGTCTCTTCCCGCATCTCCCACACCCCTTTCCCCCCCAAGAATAGTCCATTCCCTTTCTATGCCTCTGATTCTATTATAATCACCAGTTCATTCTGTTCATCAGATGATTTATTCACTTGATTCTTAGATTCACTTGTTGATAGATGTGTATTTGGTGTTCATAATTTGTATCTTTACCTTTTTCTTCTTCTTCCTCTTCTTAAAGGATACCTTTCAGCATTTCATATAATACTGGTTTGGTGGTGATGAACTCCTTTAGCTTTTCCTTATCTGTGAAGCTCTTTATCTGACCTTCAATTCTGAATGACAGCTTTGCTGGATAAAGTAATCTTGGTTGTAGGTTCTTGGTATTCATCACTTTGAATATTTCTTGCCACTCCCTTCTGGCCTGCAAAGTTTCTGTTGAGAAATCAGCTGACAGTCGTATGGGTATTCCCTTGTAGGTAACTGAGTTTCTTTCTCTTGCTGTTTTTAAGATTCTCTCTTTATCTTTTGCTCTTGGCATTTTAATGATGATGTGTCTTGGTGTGGTCCTCTTTGGATTCCTTTTGTTTGGGGTTCTCCGCGCTTCTTGGACCTGTAAGTCCATTTCTTTCACCAGGTGGGGGAAGTTTTCTGTCATTATTTCTTCAAATAGGTTTTCAATATCTTGCTCTCTCTCATCTTCTGGCACCCCTATAATTCTGATGTTGGTACGCTTGAAGCTGTCCCAGAGGCTCCTTACACTATCCTCGTATTTTCGGATTCTTTTTTCATTTTGCTTTTCCGGTTGGGTGTTTTTTGCTTCCTCGCATTTCAAATCATTGACTTGATTCTTGCGCTCCTCTGGTCTGCTGTCGGGAGTCTGTATAATATTCGTTATTTCAGTCCGTGTATGCTTAATTTCTAGTTGGTTCCCCAATATAACATCGAGGGTCTCATTAGTTTTCTTGTAGATCTCATTAAGTTTATCGGCGGCTTCTAAACAGTTCTTGAGAGACCTTAAAAGTGTGGTTCTGAACTCTATATCTTCCATTGACAATTTTGTCCTGTTTCTTTGTCTCCGCATTTTGTTATGCTTCCTTGGTGCACCCCCTAGTGGTCTTTGTGCGCAGTCTTATAGTTAAACCTTGATTGTTGTAGCTAATACCAGGGAGGGTTTGACCTCCAGGCCAAGTGGCTGTGAGAATCAGCTGTGTCTGCAGTGAGAGAACTTCTGTCCTCTAGGGAGGTGCTAATCTAGCCTTTGCCTGAGGCTATCTGGCAAATGCCTCTGTGCAGGGCTTGGGCGGGGCTGGGTGGGTCGCACAGGATCAACAGGGTGGGCCGGAGAGAGCAGTTATGGCGGCTCTCAGTCCTGTCCCCAGGGGCTCTGCCTCTCTGAGTCCCAGCAACCGCTGCAAACCTCGGAGAGAAAGCTGCACTCGCTCTGACCGAAGCCAGACAGTCCCGCTTCCCCCGTTTGAGTCTGGGTCCCTAAAGACTCGCCTGTATCTGGAGCTCAGAGTCTGCGACTCCCTCCCGATTGAAAACGCCAACCGCACCCTCCGCCGGCCAGCCCGCTCCACGCACTCCGCACCTCAGAATTTGACTTCAGCACTGCGCCTCCTCTGAGTGTCCGTATGCGTTTCTCTTTCCTCCTAGTTGTAGGACTTCCACTCAGCCAGCGTTCCTGTGGTTCTGGGTGATGTCCGTTCCGTTTTTTAGTTTCACTTTTGAAGTAGTTGCTCAAGGCAGCAAACTCCGGCGTTAACCTATGCCGCCATCTTGGTTCCCAAATCTTGTTTTTGTTTTTAAATTTTTCTTAATTTATTTTCTGTAGCCTGCAGTCTTTCTTTTTAAAATGTATATGTATATGTATATATTTAATTATTTATTGTTGAAAGTTTTACATGTCTCCTTTTCCCGCATTGACCTCTCCCCGCCGCCCCCCAGCACATGTCCCCTCCCCCCAATTGTCTGTGTCCGTTGGTTATGCGTATATACGCACGTCCTTTGGTTCATCTCTTACTCCCCGCTTCCCTCTGAGGTTTGACAGCCTGTTCCATGCTTCTAAGTCTCTGGATCTATTTTTTTCATCAGTTTATTTTGTTCATTATATTCCACAAATGAGTGAGGTCATGCGATATTTATCTTTCTCGGACTGGCTTATCTCGCTTAGCATAATGCTCCCCAGGTCCCTCTGTGCTGTTGCAAATGGTGAAATTTCTTTCTTTTTTTACAGCAGGGTAGTATTCCATTGTGTGGATGTACCATAGTTTTTAACCCACTCATCTGCTGAGGGCACTTAGGCTGTTTCCAAATCTTAGCTATGGTAAACTGTGCTGCTGTGGACATAGGAGAGCCTTGACTGTATGATACAACCTGCGTGACCTGTATTTGCAAGAAGTTTTATCAGCATCGGACACCAAGGATTAGAATAATGACACAGCATGGGAAGAGCAAGAATAACTTTTTGTTTTCAGAAATGCTGGGTGCTTAATGCACCACCCTTGAACTCCAGTGGATGGGAAGGTTCAGGTTCCCGGTTATTGAAAACGAATCTGTTAAGTATCCTGTTCGCACATCTGTCTTTAAAAACATGAACATCTGTAGCTACAGTCACAGCTTAAATAGCTGAAAAATGGCCCTGTATATTGACGTCCTATGAACCTCTCCTGGCTGTTCATTTTTACTTGAATGATTGGGGTCTAGACTCATTTTCTTATTAGTCACTCTCCGTGACATCATTAAATTTGCATAGTCACATAATCATTTCAGTTAAGAAAGAGAGCTTAGTGCTTCTAATTAGAAAAGTGATATCAAAGAAAGCTGTTTAAGACCCAGTATATTTCTAGTCAAATATTTTTTTTCTGATATAAAAAATACAACACATTCTGAACAATGGCTGCTTGTGTGAATAATGGGAATTTGGGCAGATTTAAATGTCTCTTGTTCGGCATAGGAATGTCTTTCCCCCCGTGGTGGCTGTTCCCTGTTCCACATGCTGCTGAGTTAAGGGAGCCCATACGCCCGTGTGCCTGGCCATCTGCATTCCCGTGGTGGAGCCACTGGTGGAGAGCCGTCCCTGCAGCGTGTCCTGCGTGTAGGTTGGATTTGTACTGAGCGCATTTTCGGATTTTGACTAAGCTGCTTCCGTGGAAGGGGCTGGAAGCATTGAAGGGCCTGAGGCAGGGGTGTGCTGTCCTAGTGAGGGCGTGTGGTTGTAGGAGACACTCCCTGGTCTCCTGGGCGACGTGCTGTCCGTTGGTCTTACGCTTTGGGGACACGTTTCTCGTCCTTGCTGACTCGTCTTCGATTTCAGTGGTGGGATTTCTGGTGAGGTCTGTGACATCACAAACAATACTCCCTTGTTTTAATGTGGGGAACAGCCCTGTCTGGTTTGGCTCAGTGGATAGAGTGTCGGCCTACAGACCGAAGGGTCCCAGGTGCGATTCTGGTCAAGGACACATACCTTGGTTGCAGGCTCCTCCCAGGCCAGGGCCCTGGTCGGACTTGTGCAGGAGGCAATACTTAAGTATATTCCAGGGAAGAAACACATTCCATGAGCTACACATGAAGACATTTAGCTGCTCTGTAACTGGGGTGGGAGGAGGAGATGCTGAGTTGAGTGAGACGAATAAATGAACACATTTGCATCCAGTTCCCTTACTGTGAAGTGGGCGTATTGGCCCCTTTCCTGGGGTCTGTCCCTCCCAGGCTGTGCCCGGAGCTCTGAGCACCTGGTCGCTGCCGCCACCTGCTTCCACCTCCAGCCTCCACCCCTGCCCAGACCACAGACCTGCCTGGCCCACCCACAAGCCCGCCTCTTCCTCTCCTTCCTCCCCAGGATCTCGGAGCACACGGAGCTTCTGTTGTACGTTCTCCTCTTTCCACACTTGTAGCCAGGTGTCCTCCCTCCTCTGGTTTACATCGTTCCCTGCCCCCCATCCACCCAGACGCCCCGCTGGGCCTTGGCCACTCGGCTCAGACCCCCGCGTCTGCCTCCTGCTTGGCCGATGAACTCCCATTTCCAAAACCAGCATCGCAGCCTCAATCCTGAAACCGGGTTTTCTCCCGTGTTCATATGTCAGGATGCCAGCATCACCCACATGCTTATGCCACCATCCAGGCCATGGCTGCGTCAAACTCCCGATGCACGGGCGTTCCTTCCGCTGGCTGGGCCTTTGCATGTGCTGCTTCCTCTGCCTCCACGTCCACCCCGCCCTCACCCCTGCCCCACAGCCGAGCCAGCTCGTTTCTAGTCCCTGTCACAGCCAGCCCCTCCCTGGCAGCTGTTCACCCCCTCCCGCTGCGGAACCCGGCGCTGTCCGGGACGCCGTGGCTTAGATCCGGGCTAGTCCCCTGGACTCGTCTCTGTCAGCGCTGCCTGTGAGTGAGTGGGACTCGCCCTTTCTTTCAGAAGCTGAGACGGAGTCAGTTACATGCCTGGCACTTCGTAGCGGGTACCTACAGGGTGTCCCCCAAAATGTGCACACGCTGTTTTCTGATAGCTTCATGGCTGTTTCTTTCTTTTCAGATTTAGACCATTGGAATGAATACTTATTTGAAGTGTGGATGTGTTGTGGGGACACCCTGTACATACCAGTTGAATCAATAAATATTTATCTGAATGGAAGGTATGCATTCTGTGACTAAGAGGGAGTAAGTCCCTTTTTTGGCTTTTCTCCTGAGAATTTTATGTTGGCGATTAGCTATTTTGGGTTTGGATAAAATAGTATCTTTATATTTTTATAACAGGTACATTTCAATATCCATTTTACAAATCAACATAACTGTTCATGGTAAAACATAATTTTGTCCTGTGGAATATTATTATCCTTAATGATTCAGATAATTATACTTCCTGGTGAATATTATTACCCTTCATGATTTCAGATAATTATACTTCAGCAAATGGCTCCATCCGTTTGAATTTTCACACTGTAATGACCTTCCGTGTTCACTCTATGAAATGACCCCGCAGACCTTCCCCGGGGGCGGTGAGACCCAGGTGAGCTAGGGAACAGGTCCACTGTGCGGGCCAGCACAGCCTCACATGGTTCTGACGAAGGGAATTCGCATCTGGTTTGAGTCCTGAAGTTGTCCCGGTCCCTGTAGCAGGAGAGAAACCCCGGGCTCTGCCTGTGGGTGGGAACGCTGGGGGACCCGCTGCCTGGGCGGGGCCCCGGTTCCTCGGCCCGGAGGCTTTCCCTGGCGCTGGGGACCTCCTGGTGCTAGAATCGCGTCCTTGGTCATGAATGTGCACACACAGGCGTGTCTGAGCTCCTGCTGGGAGCCAGGCTCCGTGCTGGGAACTGGACGAGACGGGACCCCCGGACGGAGGCCCAGGCCGGATGCCCAGGAGCCGCGTGTGGGATCTCGTCCTCCCAGAGGAAGCCGCCAGGACCCACGGCTGTTTTCACGTGAACCCGGTCGGGCCCAGAACAGTTTCGTTGCTAATGTCTCTTCACACGTTTCTCCTGGAAGGAGCCCATTGTTTTGCCGCTAAGGATGTGTTCTCTTTATTTTTATTTATTTATTTTGGTTAATTCTCCTCTGAGGATATTTTTCCGTTGATTTTCAGGGAGAGTGGAAGGGAGGGGGAAAGACAAAGAGAAACATTGATGTGAGAGAAACATCGATTGGTTGCCTCCCGTACGTGCCCGACCAGGGCCCAGCCGACGCTCCATCCACAAGCCAAACCGGCCAGGGCTGCTCTCCTCTTCAGAGGTAGTTCCCTGTCACGAAACTGCAAGAAGAGGAGCAGATCAGTCCCAGGTCACGCAAATGTGCTAAGTGACTTTCCACGGAAAGATCTTAACTCTAATGTCACACGTGTAACTTTCTATCCATCGGGTGCCCACGGAGTGCTGCCCCTTTTAACAAAGTCACTGCTGACGATTCCACAGAGACAGTAATTGCATTGAAATTATATTCGATTACATAACTATGAAAGTATCATGTCACTTTGGGGCTAAGAAGTAGATACATCATTACTCAGAATTCCTAACAGACACCCTTTAACATCCGCTCATTTTGTAATCTTAGAGTCCGTGGAGGCATCTGCGGTTTTCATGGAGCTTGTCGATTTAAGTGAAAAGCTTGCAAGTACAGACAAGTCAGATTAGCCTCCTTTCTAGTTAGCGTAGACTCTTAACCGCATGTTACTGCGTCCAATGTGTTGGACCGAGCTTTCAATTACAGCTCAGTCTGAGGTTCCTCTTTATCAGTGAGCAGATTCGGGGAGACGATTTGCATAGTAAACACCAGGACAGAAGAAACAGCCTCCTCGAGAAACGCACAGCATCTGGTGACGAGTAATTCCCGGGAAATGTTTGCCGCCTACAGATCTGCGAGGAAGGCGTGACCATAAGGACACATCATGTTTCTGAGTCGTCGGGACTCTGCCAAAATGGGGAAAAACAACATATTTTGGATGCTAATCCCCCGTTTTTATCCTGTGTTTCATAATTAAATCGATGACAAAAAGAAGTTCTGGTTTATCACCCACTTTAGCAAGAACACAATTCCTGCAAAGCTCACTTCTCTACCAGCAGCTCATCCCACACGGGAGCCCGCCAGAGCCGTCTGGCGAAGTGCGACGAGGGGCAGACCTGGTGTTACTGTCTTGTAGTAAATAGAAGTAAGGGATGTGGTGAAAGCCTGTGTTAGTATGTGACATCACACAAAAATACTTCGTTTTTCTCGAAAGGCGAAGGGTGAGATACTGAGGGATAGAACGTCACCGACCAGACCCGCGTCCCGCTGATGCACTCCACGCCGGAGCCCCTCTCGGCCCCTGGCTTTCTAAGCGCCAGTCAGCCCCGCAGGAGCAGGGCTTCTGGTGTGTGTGTGTGATTTTCTGTATGACTTTCCCAGGATGAAAGAATTTGTAAAACATGCCACACCTGACCTTAGTCAGGGCACTGGCCTCTTTCCCTCAGATTGTCAAATAAAGAACAACAATAGCCATTCTGGTCTGAATGAATCACAGTCTGCCCTTTTTTGTCAGATCAGCCAAAGACACAATTGTTGGTGCGCCGCAGAACTCAGGGGTGAGTGTACGTGCCATGTGGCGAAGGAGGCTGGCCGCCGCGCTCAGGCTTTCAGGGCTGAAGTTTGCATCTGGGCGCCTTCCTGCCGGTCAGATTCCGACGCCCCCCAGGCTGCTCGTCGAACGTGAGTTTTATCAGGTGCTGCCTGGTCTCCTGCGGCTCAGCTTTCCACACCCAGAGAGTTTGCATCTGACGAGGACGCGTGGCCCTGGACCAGGCTCCTGAACAAGTGCCAGTAGCTGTGACCCCCTTGGACGCACACGCCATCACGGCGCAGTGACGGCCAGACATGGGCACCTTCCGTGTCCTGTCTGGTTCCCTGTGTCCAGTGTCCTTCACCCCTCACCCCTTTTCTACCCACCAGAGCCACACATGCGCTCACATGGGCACACACAAACACACGCACATGCAGACCCACACGTCGTGCACACGTCACATGCATGTGCAGACACCCGCATCCCCAGTGGGACCCCTGGGCTCCTCACTGAGCCACCAGCTCTGAGCCCGAATTGCTGTCTTTCCATGGATTTGGCAGTCACTGGCCTGTGTGGGCGGAGCCCTAAGCAAAACCCAGGCTTCTCCTTTCCTTGAATTTTCTTTTTAAATTCACACACAAGTCTTCATCTCGTGTGAGGTGGCTTGAATATGAAGTAGGCTTAGAGCTACTTACCAGGGAAAGGAACTGGTTTCCCCAACTTTCCTTTGAGAACAATCGGCGTTCCGAAGCTGTGCCCACTTGTACATGCGGGTACAGAGGCACGGGCATGGCTAGCGTGACCTCTGCCCTCGGCCAGCTGCTGCGTGTGCGTCTGTCACACGTAGGACACACTGTGGACCACCAGTTCCCTCGGGCTTGTGGGTGAAAGTCAGGAGACAGCCGTGCGTCGGGTAAATGGGAAAGGTCACTCCAGTGGCCGCATCGCAGAATTGGGGCGCTCATCCCACAGGCAGTTTACAGCCCTGTGAACAGTCAGGCGAGAAGCTGCCTCCTGGTGGCTGGTCCTCAGAACTTCAGTGGGAAGCGCGCTTCTGGGCGCTGATGCTATAGGGACGCGGGACCCCGCTGGGCGATGACGTCTTCGGTGGGGCCCCACAGGAGCCCGGGTGTCGCTCCTGGTCATGACCCTCACTGTCTCACAGAATCATGGTGTTGAGGTGGGCAGACATCACCGGCTTCCTTGTCAGGAAGGGACAGTGGACGGGGGAAAGGATGGTGCTCGGACGTCCAACCAGGTTCTTCTGAGAAGCAGAGCTCAGAACAGGACAGGGAAGTGCCTTTCGGTGCTTTGCTTTATTGTCTCTGGGGGTATGTGTTATAGGACGATGTCTTGTAGAATGCACATGTGTATTGCTCTGCAAATAACGTTAGGACATGTGCCCCGTGCCCCTGGGGATCACAGCTGCCTGCAGAGGGAGGGGGGCATGGCCGGAATGGAACAGCCACCTGCTGGGGCGGGAGGGCACGGAGCCGGGGAAGGGGGTGTGCAGGGCTGTCCGAGGAGGGAAGGGAGCTGTCAGCGTTTGCAGGCGGCAGGGGACTGCACCAAGCCCTGGCTCCCAGCCGGGACGGGGGTGCACGGGCTGCAGTGGGGTTCCCCCCCACCCGCAGGGCTTTACCATCCCGGTCACTCCCTGTGTCGTCCGCAAGGATGGAACTCCCTTACGTGGCACATCAGGAAACTGAGGCCAGGGGGTGAGGTCGATCCTCCGAATGGGCGCAGTCTGTCACGTGGGGCTGTGTTCCTGCCCTGACCATGGCACATTGATGTATGTGCTGCATCGTCGTGTGCTCGTGTGTGCATGTGGGCATTTACTTATGTTTGTGCGTGTGTGAATTGTGTGCGTGTGTGAACTGCATGTGTGACTGCATGAATATATGTGCAAGTGTGTTTATGCATGCACACCCCACATGTGCGGCTGTGTGTGTCCACGTGTGTTTGTGCGTGTGTGTGGTCATGCATGTTTGTGTGTCTACGTGTGTGTGCTTGTGTGTATGCGTAGGTGTGTCTAATACATGGGAAGGGGTGTTTGGAAGGGATAACACAACTGGAGCCGTGGATGGCGTGCAGCGGTGGAGGTTTGTTGGGGCGGCTCACACACAGGGGCATGTGCAGCTCCCTCTGCAGGAGGGCGGAGGCCACACCGCGCAGCTGTGGTGGGGCCTGGGCTGGGGTCTCAGTGACTGGCAGGTGGAGGGGACCTGGAGAAGCCGGGGGAGGGCAGGACGGAGGGTCGCGGTACAGGACCTGTGTGTGTCTGTCACGGGAGAGGGGAAGCAGGTCTGTCTCCTTCAGCACAGACGCGGCTGCTTTTCTGGATCCAGTGCGACTGGGACGCATCTCTCCCAAGTCCTCCCCGGCTCCGTCCACATCCACGGCCCGCCCGCCTCTCCCGAGGCTCTGAGCTGCTCCCGGGGGCGGCGCTGCCTGCTCTCCAGCCCCCCACCCCGGGGTGCTGGGCCCCTGGGCCTGGAGTGTGGGCGCCTCACTGCCGTTTGTCCCACTTTGTGTCTGCAGATGAAAACAGGCTTTACCTTGCTGCTCGACGAGGCGTCTGGAAATGCCTCCGCCGTCCGGCTGAGGCTGACCGGGGAGGTGCTGACACTGCAGAGGCAGGGTGTCGTCTGTGTCAGTGGGAGCAGCCCTGGTGCAAACGTAAGTGCCGCCAGCCAGCGCCCAGTCTGCCCATGGCGTCCAGGTGAGCCAGGGGGCTCAGCACACGGAGCCGCCGAACGCCGCCGCTCAGGGCGGTCGTGAAGGGCCGCTGCCTCTGTTTATATGTATATATAAGCATGTTATTGTAGGTTGCATGTTATTATATATAATTTATATGTAATTTTTATATACTAATTCTAATATGTATTAATATTAATAACAATATACAGTGTTAACATGTTGTTTATTATATTATATATGTTAATATGTTTTATTGACTTTGGAGAAAGAGAGAGGAAGAGAGAGAGAGGGAGAGAAACATCAGCGATGAGAGAGACTCATTATGGATGGAGTCGGCCCGTGGCCTGCCCGGTTGCCCTGGGGAGCGGGGGTTGGTTGTCCACTGGGGCTCATCCTCGGGGACGGTGGTGAGGCGCCCGCCTGGCAGGGATTGCACGGCACAGGGCCTGGTTTGTCTCTTCTGTTCTGGACGCGCCGCCGCAGACGCAGATTTGAAGCGGGGTCGTCACTGTCGTGTGAGCACCGTCGCTGCGTGACCAGTCCTGCAGTTGGACTGAGGAAGCCCGCGTGCACTTGGCGTTCGCTCTGATTGTGCGTTTTAGCCTCAACTTGGTTTGTTTTCTACGTTGTTTGAAGCACAGAACCGTGACGCTTCGCAGACAGCCCGTGGGTGGCCTGGGCCTGAGCGTAAAGGTACGACACGTGCCTCCCGCCCCGTGTGCCTCCGTGGCCTCTTGGCGGGACTGTGACCGCCTCCTCTGTCTTCCAGGGCGGTGCCGAGCACGGAGTCCCTGTCATCATATCAAAGATATTCAAAGACCAGGCAGGTAACAGCAGCCAACACTCCTGTGCTGCATCGACAGCTCCGGGGTGGGGGGGCGGGCTGTGCTACTTAGAATGAAAACTCAGCACCTGCTTACTCTGGAGGCGGTTTACCTGCACTTATTTCTGTGGCTGTATCTTATTTCCTTCCTGACCCCACTGCCCTTGTCCATCTCCACGGGCCACGCAGGCCTGAGAGCGCCCAGCTCACAGGCAGCGTCCCGCCCCTTGGAAGGCGCCGCAGATCCGGCGTTTGAGCGAGCAGGGCGGGTGGGGGGATCTGAGGCCTCGTCAGGCAGTGAGGCGAATGGATGGTGGGAGAAGTCGGCGGTCAGGTCTCTGCCGTGAGTGACATCACGCCTCCAGACGCTGACCCTGCGGAGGGTGAGGGAGGGGCATGGCCTGGAAGTAAAGCGGCCGGGAAGGGACCCTGCTCAGCAGCTGCGGGTTCCTGTGTCGTGTTGGTGTCGACGTGATGAGAAATGGGGTCAGCCGCTCCCATCAGCAGACCCTCCCACTGGAGGAGGAGGCATTGTGTCCACGTCACACATGCCTGCGTCTGGAAAGTAACTCTCGTCCTGGGCTTAAAGTCCGCCATCTGGGCAGCTTAGGGCGGGGCAGCTTGGGAGCCACACCCACGCACACACATGAACACACAATGGACAGCATACATGCTCACATGCTCACAGATGCACACATACATGCATTCACACCCATACTCACACATGTACATACATTCACACGCACACCTGCAGCCACATTTTCACACATGCTCACATTCCCATGCATTCACACATTCCCACAGGTGACACTCACATGTGCATGCACACTCATATACATGTACACACTCACATGTGCATGCACCAACACACTCATATGCACACATACATGGCTCACACTCACACACATGTTCACATTTGCACACGTGACACCTGCACTCACATGTGCACACACTGACACATGTGACACACACTCTAAGCCTTCACAGCAGTTGTGACAAACACGAGGTCACTGACTTCCTGTTGACACTGCCCCTTTGTGCCTTTGCAGCCGACCAGACAGGGATGCTGTTCACAGGAGACTCCATCCTGCAGGCCAGTAGCTCCCCTGCAGCCCTAGCTTTGCTGTGCTTTTGTTTTGGACTTGTCGCCATCAACCCTCCTCCTCAAAACTCTCCATTTGTCGTCTGTCAGGTTAACGGCATCCATGTAGAGAACGCCACCCACGAGGAAGCGGTGAGTGTTCTGCTCTGTCTCTTGTTCTGTTGACCAGATGTTCTTTCGTCCTGTTCTTGTCCCTAAACTTACACTTCAGACACGGAACTTCAGAACCGGACGCTGACAGACATGGTGAGTCGGCGAGGTTGTCACAGGACGGAGCCAACATTCAGCCCTAGCCTGTCCCCCCCCCCCCCCCCGCCCCCATTCCCTGTCAGCTCTCCTGCTCTCAGGCGCCTCCTATCTGGTCAGGGACCTGGTTTCATGTCCTTGAATTTCAATCCATTTAACAAGTACTCAGTCCCCCCATGATCTTCCTCATCAGAAAGGCCCCCTGAGCAGCAGACCAGCCTCCCCAGAGGTTGGAGCACCCCAGCCCGAGCCACCCTCAGTCCTGAAGCGTGGGTACAGACGGGACAGGATTTGTAAAGGGAGGCACAGCGCTCCCCCCTTTGCTGGGATTCCAAGCACAAGGGTCACTGAGCAGTTGACAAAGAACATTGCTCAGGGTCGTAGAACCCCTACCTGTGCACCATACACATCAGACACGTTTACAGTAACCCCACGGTGCCCTTGGCAAACAGGATCGCATGCAGCAAAGGAAACCTGGGATCTAACCCAAAAGTGGACGCTAACACAGAAGATGCGTGTGGGTTCAGCCGCATGGACAAAACCCCGCGTTGCTCAGATAATAACACCATGCAAACGCGATGACTAGCTTCACACACAGTGTTGTCAAGTCCCCACTAATGACTGTTCCTTATATTTTAAGAATATGAAAATTTCAGAGGCACTTGGAGATAACACAGGCCTGATATTGGTCTTGACAGAAGAGAGCGCATTAGTTGAAAATCTCGAATTTTAATAAATCACGGAAAGGAACTAAAATAGTAAGTGTTTTACATGGAGGAGTTTTAAATAAGTAAACTAGTCATGTGAATTTTCTTTGGCTCCTTCATCTGTGTTTTGTTTTTTTAAATATACTTTTATTGATTTCAGAGAGGAAGGGAGAGGGAGAGAGGGAGAAACATCGATGATGAGAGAGACTCATGGCTCAGCTGCCTCCTGCATGCCCCACACTGGGGATCAAGCCCACAACCCGGGCCTGTGCCCTGACCGGGAATCAAGCAATGACCTCCTGGTTCATAGGTCGACACTCAACCACTGAGCCACACCGGTCAGGCCTTTCATCTGTTTTTAAGAGATGGAATACTATTAGCTACTTAAAAACCAATTTCAGGATCAAGTGCTACTTTGAGTGTAAGCTCCGTGATCATCAAATCAGTGGGAGCAGAGAAAGTTGTGGGATCCTGACTTCTGGAGCTGAAAGTGTTTACAACATGTGAAATGTGGAAACTGATTGTCTGGTGGTCCAGTCCCTCATTTCAGAGGAGAGGGTGTGGAGGCAAATAGCGGCCAGAGGAGGGGCCCCTCGTTCCCAGGCAGGATGGGGGGCCCCTCGTTCCCAGGCAGGATGGGGGGTCCCTTGTTCCCGGGCAGGATGGGGGGGGTCCCTTGTTCCGGGCAGAATGGGGGTCCCTTGTTCCGGGCAGGATGGGGGCCCCTCGTTCCCGGGCAGGATGTGGAGGCTAGGGTGCGGTGTGGGTGGCCGGCCTCCACAGTGCACTTCTGCGCATGTCCACGTGTGTGGCTGGCACACAGGACGAGGACACGCTCCGTGACCCCCAGGCTGCGTGTCTCCTCTGTGAGGTTCTCGTCCGCCTCCCGGAGGGCACTGGGGAGGCAGCACCGGCTGCTTGTTGGCTCAGATGAAGGCGAGGAAGTGAGAACATGGCCCAGCTGGCTGCGCGGTGTCTCCCAGGGATGACTCCATGCGCCCGCAAGCCCCTGGGCAGATCGGGCAGGCCTGTGTGTCTGAGGCTTCTGTCCTGGGGGGTAACCCCCGCCCTCAGGACTGGAGAAGCAGGCGCACGTGGAGGATCTGGTGTCGCTCCTGCCGGGTGCGCCGGGTGAAAGAGTGACTCTTTGCTTTCCCGGCAGGTGCACCTCCTGAGAAATGCTGGCAGCGAGGTGACCATCACAGTGGAGTTCCTCCGGGAAGCGCCATCGTTTCTGAAGCTGCCACTAGGTAAAGGGGCGCCCTTGCACCTGGAGCCCCACTGCCCACCCAGCACGTGTCCCCAGGATGTGGCGCCCACATGTGCAGAGAAGGACAGACCGGCCCGGGGGACGCGTCCCTAGGCGTCTGTGTTTGCCTCCACAGACTTGAAGGTCACGCTGCCGATGAGTGAGCTGTCCTTTCTCAAGGCGGCTGCCTGTGGCCATGTGTCTGTGTCCACCCACATGGCACATACTTAGAGACACAGTGTGTGTTTATAATCCCTCTGGGGCCTTGAGAAACCTGGTGTAGGAAGAATGTAGCAGGAAACTTTCCCAGGTGCCTCCCAGCCAGGCAGGCAAGTGGTCTGTGTTGCACATGGATGGACGGTGCTCCAGCGAGGAAGGCCCGTCATAGACTTGTAGCTGTCAGAACCACGGACTCGGCCAGGACCACGCACTCGGCCAGGACCACGGACCCGGCCAGGACCACGGACCCGGCCAGGACCATGGACCCGGCCAGGACCACACACTCCCTCAGGACCACGCACTCGCTCAGGACCATGCACTCGGCCAGGACCACGGACTCTCTGCAGCCCCCATGATGGTGTGAAATTATAGGCGCCACCCCCTTAGATTTGGCAGCGGGTCCAGCCCTTGTGGCGTCGTCCTGGGCAGTGAGGCGGAGGGCACTTTTCACAGGGGCAGGCGTCCTGTCCTCGGGGAGGCCCTGGGGGGACAGGGCCGTGTGTGGTCGCAGTGGGTTCATCCTGAGCACTGTGCGGACCCGTCTCTGTTCTGTTCGCAGGGTCCCCCGAGTCCCCCAGTGGCCACGGCAGTGGGGCCTCCTCCCCGCTCTTCGACAGCGGCCTGCACCTGAACGGGAACCCCAGCAACACAGTAAGCAGCTCTCCTTACACCTCATTACGGGCCAGCCTGCCGCGGACGTGCTAGGGGCAGAATTAACCCCCCCCATGGCCCTAGTGGGTTTGGCTCAGTGGATAGAGCATCGGCCTGCGGACAGAAAGGTCCTGGGTTCGATTCTGGTCAAGGACACATACCCCAGTAGCAGGCGCCTCCCTGGCCTGGGCCCTGGTGGGGGTCCGTGCAGGAGGCAACCAATCGAAGTGGTTCTCTCACATCGATATTTCTCTCTGTCTTTCCCTCTCTCTAAAAATCAATGGGAAAATATCCTGAGGTGAGGAATAAGAAAACAAACAAAGCAAACCCTCCCTGGGCCCACCCTGCCTGTGACCCTGTCAGAGGAAACCCCTGGATTTAGGGAGCCGCTCACTGGCTTTTATCCTGATGGGGGCGCCTGTGAGTGCACAGTGGGCGTTTAGGCTCCTGGCAGCTCGTGAGGGGCAGGAGGGGAAGGTGAGGGCAAGGGTTTCTGAAGGAGCAGAGCCCGGAGGCAGGTCCTGCCGTCCACCTGCCGGGAGGTGTGGCCAGTCCTGTCTCCCCGTGGGAGGCCCCGGGCAGCTCCCTCTCGCCCGTTACGCACCCAGCCGGGCAGTCAGAGCAGGACCCTGTCCATGTGTGAGGGAGGCTTTACCGGACGTCGGGTCCAGCGGCTCCCTCAGAAGGGCCAGCTCTGACTTGCGGGTGGAGCGGGAGAGAAAGACGCTGTTTGTGGAATACGTTGTCAGACTTTTCATTTTAACCTTTTAATAGAGTTCCTCATACTTAAACATTGTATTTAGTGTCTCTGTGAGTCATGAAACAGAATCATAAACTGGGCGCCCGTGAACGCTCACCGATGTTCGGTAATTAGACCATTGCCGCCGGCTCATGCGCCTTCCGCACGTCACCCCTGCACCCTGTCTCCGTCGGGCTCGCCCAGGGAGCACCCGCGCCCACATCTGGCATTTCTCAGCCTTGATAAAGCGGGGGCCTCTCCAATGGATGTGCCCCTGAAACGCAGTCTCCTCATCTTGAGCTCTAGGAAACATCCTGCCCTGGCCTCCGGGGGGCACAGTCTTCTGTGCTTTTTATGATGTTTTTCAGATCCACAAATGTGTGTGGGCTTGACATATATATATTCTGCTAGCTGGTATCTGTGTGAGTGCCCTACATTTTATGTATTGATCATCGATCGCCGATGGACATTTGACATTTGCCTTCTGGGTTGGTTTGGTGATGGAAGTCGGGGCCACGTGATCTCGCTCACAAATGAACACTGTCGGCCGTGGACACAGGTGGGGTGCCTGGGTGCTGACGCCTCTGCGTTTATTTCCACAACAACGAGGGCATCGCTGCCCACGCATCCAGCCCACTCTCCTGCCCGGCGGCCCCGCAAGCCTGGTCTCCCCACCCCCCATGCTGGGTATTGAGGGACGAACATTTTGAAGTTCACGGGTGGACGGGGCTGTCCACAGGGGTCAGTTTCACGTCAATCAGGATGGATGTGATTGCCCTTTGTTCCCCGCGTTTCCCTTTGGCTTCTCTTCTGTGAGATGCGGTTCTCACTTCTGATGGTTTACAGGGAAGGGTGATGCCCTGGAACTCCCCCTCGAGCTCGGAGTCAGTGTTCTGTGAGCCGAAGGTCTCTTCCCACCGGTTGCAGGTGTGGCTGTGCTGCGTTTGCAGTGTCTTTTCATCCATAGAATTTCACAGGAGCCAACGGGACCCCTTTCTTCCCATCCCAGTTTGTGTTTTTAGGAACTTCTTAAAGAAATCCTTTCTTATCCTAAACGCATAAAGATGTCTGCGTATATTTTCTCCTAAATAGCCATAAAGCTCGTTTTTTTCACTGTAAGTCTCTAAAGCATGAGAGAGATAGTCCCGTAAAATACGTGAGAGGCTGGGGTCAGATTCATGGTTGTGGGTAACAGTTGTCTGTTTTCTGAGTGGCCTGTGATCATCGCGGTGACCACGTAACATACCCCCTGGTCTGTGGGCTTGTCGCTGAGACCTGGGCATGTTGTCTGACGATGTCAATACTGACATGACTTAGTTACTGAGCGTTTATGATGAATCTTTGTCATCCGTAGGCTCAGGCTCTCACCCCCTCCTAATTCACTATTTTTCCATCCTCTCTCTGCTTGTATTTTTCTTGTGATCAATTTTAAAAACCTGTGATTAGTTCCCACACCAAGTATGACAGGGATTTTGGGTGTAATTTAGATCGACTGGGAAGGGCACGCTCTTTCTCTTGCCGCGACTGGTGGCATTAACGCTCCCTTGGCATCCGCCCTCTTGTTCCTCAAGGACTCTCACCGGAATCAAAGCCACAGAAAGAAAATGGCAGGCCATCATTCCTGGTGAACATAGAGGCAAATATCATCCACAAAAATACTATCACACTGAATTCAGCAACACATGAAAGGATCATACACCATGATCACGTGGGCTTCATTCCCAATATGCAAGGACGGTTCAATCTCCACAAATCAATGGGATACAACATAAAATTAAGGGATAAAAATCATGTAATCATATCAGTCGATGCAGAAAAAAGCATTTGGCAAAGTAATTTTCCTCTCCTATAATTTTCTCTGTGCAGGAAATGCTAAGAACGAACTCTCTGCTCACTGAATTGATTCTAAGGTTGCATTAGGGTGTCCTGTCGCTGTGGACCTGCTCAGTCCTGTGTAATAATATTGTGTCTCCCCCCAAACAGTCCCTGTACATCCCTCTCTTCCATTTTACCACCCACGTTGGTATGTTCCTGGTCTGCGTCTTCATCTTGAGCTCTAGGAAACACCCTGCCCTGGCCTCCTGGGAGGCAGTTTTCTGTGCTATTACGTTTTTCAGATCCACAAATGTTGTGTGTGGGCTTGACATATATATATTCTGCTACCTGGTATTTGTGTGACTGCACTACATTTTATTTATTGATCCTCGAGGCCCCGGTTGGCCCCTAAGCAGGCCCGATTCTCAGCCCCTGGGAGGAGTTGAAGAGTCTAATCCTGTTTTTCCAGCCTCATGATTTCAGTGTGAGGAACATAACAATAACCTGTTGTCAGATAAGTTCATTTGCTTGTACTAATTGTATTGCTGTGATATTAAAAAATTTATGCAACTTAAATAATTTACTAGTAGCTAGTGAGCTAATTTCACAAAATTTATGCTTTAAAATAAACTAAGCATTTCCACAGAAAACTTGCCAAATTTAAGTAGAAAAATTATTTACATGTTTTCTGTGAAATGCTAAGATCTCACCCCATAACGCTGAGATGTAGGTCTTAATTTAGCTGCAGAAAAACATTTCAGAACAGACCTTTTCCCTTGGTAATAATTAATATTTGATGACTAATTGAGCCTTTAAGTGCTGTTCTTTGGAGGAGAAAAACACACAAAAATAGTATTTTAGTGAGAAACACGTTTGATTAAAAATTGATAGATATGATACTATTGGAGAACATATAAACATTGCTTTCCTAAGGTTCACTTTTATCTTTTTCAATATATTTTTATTGATTTTAGCGAGGAAGGGAGAGGGAGAGAGAGAAACATCCATTGGCTGCCTCCTGTATAACCCCTACTGGAGATGACGAGGATTGAACAGGCAACCTTCTGGTTAACTCTAGGTCCCCAAACAAAAGTAGCAAAGATAAGTAGCAAGGTTTGAGCCCAGGTCTGTGTGAGTGAACCAGCCCTTTTCATTAAGGATATATGTCCTTTATATACATAATATTTATATATAACTAGAGGCCTGGTGCATGGATTCGTGCACCAGTGGGGTCCCTCAGCCTGGCCTGTTCCCTCTCGCAATACAGGACCCCTCAGGGGATGTCAGAGGCCTGGTATACGGGTTCGGCCCGATCCTCGCAGGCCAGGCCGAGGGACCCCACTGGTGCACACATCCGTGCACCAGGCCTCTAATATGCATATAAGATCTTTGGTTAATCTCTTCCCACCCTCCCTCTCCCCGCTTCCCTCTGAGATTCATCAGTCTGCTCCATGTTTTCATGTCTGTGCGTTGAGCGTCTGCCTCCTGGTGTTCAGTGCGCGTCATAGCTACCAGTCGAATCGTTGAACAGTCACTTAGGCTTTTATATATATAGACTAGAGGCCCACTGCACAAAATTCATGCACGGGTGCGGTCCCTGGGCCTGGCTGGCGATCAAAGCGGGAACGTCTCGCGTGGAAGGGTAGGTCCTAGCTGACCTCTGGGCCCTGGGAAGCCCCTGGGCCCCTGGGCCCCCATTCGCCACCCTCCACCTGAGTCATCAGGCCCCCGCCCAGCTTCCTCAGTGCCTGGGAGCTGGGCAACAGCCCCGCTCCGCTGCTGCCACCGCTGGTCACCATCTACGCAGTGTTCAGCAAGGCGATCGGGCTCCTGCCCAGCTCCCTCAGCACCTGGGAGCCGGGCGGTGGCCCTGCCCCCCACCATGGCTGCTGGTCGCTGTCTGCTGGGTGATCGGACCCCGCTTGCACTTGCCTTGACCTGATGCCACCTGCTCCCACTCTCCTCGGGGCCCATTGGGGCCAGCAGCGCCTCGTTGCTGACACCCACCATGTTCCACGCCGCCCCCTCGTTGTCAGTGCATGTCATAGCAAGCAGTCGAACTCCCGGTTGAGGAGACAATTTGCATATTAGGCTTTTATTATATAGGATTATATATACTTGTCGTGTATTTATTTTTTATTTATAACATTAGAGGCCCAATGCACAAATTTTGTGCAAAGGGCTCGACCCACGCAGCCCCAGCTTCGTCTGAAATGTCGTCTGACTGTCCAGTCTAATTAGCATATTACGCTTTTATTATTATAGACTAGAGGCCTGGTGCACAAAAGTTTGTGCACTCGGGGGGGAGGGGGGGCCCTCAGCCCGGCCTGTGCCCTCTCACAGTCTGGGACCCCTCGGGAGATAACGACCTGCTGGCTTAGGTCTGCTCCCGGGTGGCAGAGGGCAGGCCCAATCCCTAGGTGCAGCCCCTAGTCGGGCTCAGAGCAGGGCCGATTGGGGAGTTGGGGCGCCACCCCGTCATGCACAGAGCAGGGCAGATTGGGAGGTTGCGATGCCACCCTCAGTCACGCTCAGGGTAGGGCCGATTGGGGGGTTGGGGCACCGCCCTCTGTCACACTCAAGGCAGGGTCGATGGGGAGGTTGCGGCACCACCCCCTGTCACGCACAGAGCAGGGCCCATCAGGGGGGTTGGGGCTTTGTACCCTGTCATGCACAGAGCAGGGCCAATCAGGGGGTTGGGGCGCTGCCCCCTGTCACGCACAGAGCAGGGCCCATCAGGGGAGTTGGGGCTCCATACCCTGTCACGCACAGAGCAGGGCCCATCAGGGGGGTTGGGGCTCCGTACCCTGTCACGCACAGAGCAGGGTCAGTCAGGGGGTTGGGGAGCTCCCCCCTGTCATGCACAGAGCAGGGCCGATCAGGGGGTTGGGGGCGCCACCCTCTATCACTCACAGAGTAGGGCCGATAGGGGAGTTGAGGCACCGCCCCCTGTCACACTCAGGGCTGGGCCGATAGGGAGGTTATGGCTCTACCCCGTCACACACAGAGCAGGGCCCGTGGGGTGGGGGAGGCGGTTGGGGCGCCGCACCTTGTCACACACAGAGCAGGGCCAATCAGGGGGTTGGGGTGCCACACCCTGTCACACACAGAGCTACAGGGTGATCAGGGGGTTGGGGAGCTCCCCCCTATCAGGCACAGAGCAGGGCTGATCAGGGGGTTGGGGTGCCTTCCCCTGACACGAACAGAGCAGGGCGGATAGGGAGGTTGTGGCCCCGCCCCCTGTCACACACAGAGCCGCAGGGCAATCAGGGGGTTTGGGCGCTGCCCCCCGTCACGCTGATCCCGGTGCCAGGAGGCCTCATGGCTCTGCTGATCCCGGTGCCGGGAGGCATATTACCCTTTTACTATATAGGATAGAGGCCTGGTGCATGGGTGGGGCTGGCTGGTTTGCCCTGAAGGGTGTCCTGGATCAGGGTGGGGGTCCCCACTGGGGTGCCTGGCCAGCCAGGGTGAGGGGATGATGGCTGTTTGCATCTGGTCACACACCCTTCAGGGTGGGGGTCCCCACTGGGGTGCCTGGCCAGCCTGGATGAGGGGATGATGGCTGTTTGCAGCTGGTCACACACCGTTCACGGTGGGGGTCCCCACTGGGGTGCCTGGCAAGTCTGGGTGAGGGGCTGAAGGCTGTTTTCAGGCTGACTGAAGCTCCCAACTGCTCCTTTTTTTTTTTCATTCTGGGCCAGCTTTAGCTCTGGCTCCAGCTCTGAAATCAGGTATCTGGTTTGTTTGCGTTCTATAATCGAAACTCTGTATCAACTCCAGCTCTGAGATCCCGGGCTTGCTGAAAGCAGGTTTCCGGGGTTTTGTTTAGCTTCTATATTTGTAACAATGTTTCAAACTGCAGGCTCAGAGGCCGGCAAGGCAGGTGGGGAACATTGGAGTCCTCCGTCACTGAAGCAAGCAAGCCTCATGTTAGTTTCAAGCTGCCTGGCTGCCGGCCGCCATCTTGGCTGGCAGTTAATTTGCATATCTTGCTGATTAGCCAATGGGAAGGGTAGCAGTCGTACGCTAATTACCATGTTTCTCTTTTATTAGATAGGATTATGCATATAAATACATGTTTATGTAATAAGTATAAATATTTCACTGAGAGGCTGAGCCCATCCCGAGAGCAGAGCATGTGTCAGGGAGAGCAGGGTGGGGTGGGCTGTGGCCTGTGGGGACTTCAGAGTCCGACGCCTGTGGTCACTGAGTCGGGCTCCGGTGGGCGGGTGCCCTGGGGCCGAGTGCTGCTCCCAGGCAGCTGTGTTTGGACACCAATCGGGCGACACTGGCTTAGGGGTGCGTCCATCGAGTTCTTGTTGGGGGCGAATATCCCATCGTGTCTCTTGCAGAGAGTTACTGAGTGTGAAGCTCCGGAGGCAGGCAGGTGGGTGTCCCCTCTAGAGACGGGGCCCCAGGACGACTGCAGCCCCGCCATCCCAGACGCATCCCAGTCCTTTAAGAAGCGTGTCCACTGGAAAAAAAAAACACATAAATAAAAAGTGGTGCTTCCCCAAGCGGGGCTGTCTGGGCCATGCAGGGGGCGCCCTCCCACCTGGGCCCATTTGCGATCCACGGTTCATCGGCACCTGCGGGGTGTTGTGTCTGGTCCTGTGGTGGCTCACGGGGCTCGTTCACATTCTCAACGTCCTGGCTCCCAGGTGGCCTGAGGAGGGACCCTCCCTCCATCCCCTGGGTCACCCTCTGCCCCAGCCACTGGCCACGCAGTGGGCCTGCACCGCCAGTTAGTAGGCCATATCTCGGCACCAGGCTCCAATAGGACATGGTCTCTGTTAGCGTGTGCTGTGTCTTGGGCTTGAGCTGCCTCTAAATTGACCTGTCAAGTGGGTGTGGTCTCCCCAGGCCTCCTGGGCAGGCACCTGTCAACTCCCACTTCCCTCCCAATTTGACTTTTCTTCTCGACTTTTATCTCTTTTATGCAATATTTTGTTTTAAAAAAATAACAGAGAGGAAGCAGTTTAAGTTCAGGTAGAAGTGCCTGGTGTCTTTCTCGCTCTGTGAGAGAGCTGCCTGTGCTTTGTCGGCAGTTACCGCGTGTAGATTTGGGTGGCGTGCTCGGGGTGCTGGTCCGTGTCCTCGCTCCCTGACTGACTCTGTGACCCTGGTTCTCATTTATTTTGCACAGGCTCCACCATCACCTTCCTCACCCATAGCTAATGAGCCAAAATATGAGAAGCGCTGGCTAGACTCCTGGTCAGTTCCTCTGTCTATAGCCCGCATCTCCAGGTCCCAGGCCGGAACGGAGACGTTAAGGTGTGTGCCCGTGGCCCGAGTGGGAAGAGCTGACCCCCGCACACGTCCTCCTGTTCTGAGTCATCCCTGGACCAGGCTTACTGTCCCGACCTGGTGCGTGGGACCGTCTTCTGGCGGAGGCGCCTGTGGGGAAACAGCCGGAACAGGCGCCGACTCACGGGCGCTGGGTTGTGTCTCGGGCAGAGTTTGTGGATAACTGAACGTCTGGTGGGATTTGGCAGCAAAGCCCTCGGGGCCCCGCTTCTCTTGTGGTTAGTTTCTTGGTTATTCAGACTCTTCGCTGTAACACTGTCCGCTCAGATGTCTTCCAGACGCGGTTCAGCAGTTCGTCTCTCTAGGATTTTCCCAGTTCACGGAAGTTTCGCGTGGACCGGGCCACAGCTGTCCACAGAAACCCTTTGTCGCCCTCCTCGCTCGGACGTCGGTAGACCCACCTCCTCTTCCGCTTCTTGTCTTGCGTTTGAGTCTTCCTTCTTTTCCTTGTTTGGTAAATCTGGCTCAGGTTTGTCAATCTTGCCGATCTTTTTAAGAACCAGACCTTGTTCACATTGGTTTTCTCTCTTCTCTTCTGTTTCGTGAATCCTGTGTGTCTTCCCTTCTGTGGAAAGTGGGAATGAATTGAGGTCGTTGGTTTCCCATCATCCAGGCGTTTCAGTGCCTCTTCTCATAAAGACTCTGGTCCCATTAGATCTGGACCCTTGGGCCCTCACTTCACCTTAACTCTTCCCTTAGAGGCCCTGTCTTCAAGGACACCACACGGGGGTCAGGGCTTCAGCATAGGAATCTGGGGTTCCCCACCTGAGTCCACAGGAGCCCGTGTGAGTAATAGTTGAGGAAGGCTGTGCTACTGGGGAAGCCTATTTAACCAGAGACGGTTATTCCCGTGGGAGGTAGGCTGCAGGCAGGTGACTTTCAGGGAGAAAAGGCGGGAGCACCGACTTCGCGAGCTCGGTTGTAACAAATGTACGTGTGGTCACAGCATCCGCGATGCCGAGCTGATGCTAGACTTGCCTGTTGTCACCGTGTCAGCAGCTTTAAAAGCCTCAGTAAATGGTTCCCAAAGAATGATTACTAAGGACGCACCAGGACAATCACTCCGAAATTTCTACTAGAGCAACGTTATTTCCTATATGAATTGCCTTCCAGATTTTTATTGAATTAGAAATAGCTGTTGATGAGAATTTCAACATTTTAAACTTAACTTTAGTAAGTCTATGTAAGATCCTGAAAACATGCCCGTGGCCTGACCACGTAAGATCCTGAATCGTGTCAGTGGCCTGACCACGTAAGACCCCGAATCGTGTCAGTGGTCTGACCACGTAAGACTGTGGAGCATGTCAGTGGTCTGACCATGTAAGACCGTGGAGCGTGTCAATGGTCTGACCACGTAAGATCCTGAATCGTGTCAGTGGTCTGACCACATAAGACCGTGGAGTGTGCCAGTGGTCTGACCACATAAGACCGTGGAGTGTGCCAGTGGTCTGACCATGTAAGATCCTGAATTGTGTCAGTGGTCTGACCACATAAGACCGTGGAGCGTGTCAGTGGTCTGACCACATAAGACTGTGGAGTGTGTCAGTGGTCTGACCACATAAGACCATGGAACATGTCTGTGGCCTGACCATGTAAGATCCTGAATCGTGTCAGTGGTCTGACCATGTAAGACCGTGGAGCATGTCAGTGGTCTGACCACATAAAACCCTGAAACGTGATCATGGTCTGACCACCGTGGTCACTGTCTTTCCATGGTGACTGATGATTTTGAGGGGGCTGGAGCGGCGGCCCCGGGCCGGGGTCTGAGATGACGTTTCTCCTCTGCCCTCCTCACCGCATCCCGTTCTTGTTCTCCTGCAGGCCCCACGCCTTCAATGTGCTGGCGCTTGGGGTCCGCTCAGGGATGCTGCAGTTCTCCACGGCCCAGGAGACCACCGACTGGCTGAGTGCCGTGGCCACAAACATCCATGACCTGATGCTACAGAGGGTGAGCCGAGATTCCACCCGCCGTTTTCTTTTCACCCACACAAATAGTTACGAGGTTCTGCATTTATATTAACCAGAAATAACTGGCTGTAACGTTAAACAGAAGAACGTGTACTTTTTTTTTAACATTTCAAATCTCTGATTAAAAACAGTTTAAGATAAAGTCATAAGTGTTTCCTAGCTCAAGAGTGTGGGTTAATCAGACATTTGGGTACTTCACGTGGTTCCCTCTCTCCTGTCCTCACACATACACAGGCAGTTCATTAGCCAGGCATTAATTAGCCAGGCATTAATTAGGCTGGAAACTCAGGCACCAATGTGCTGGTTGTCCTGACCCTGCCTCCCTCTCTCCGCAGCTGAAAATGGCCAACAAGTGCTGTTCTCCGAGGGACCAGGTGGGTTTGGGTTGTTTGTGCGAATCGCGAAAGTAGCCTCTTTCGTTGTTGGCATCTGATCTGGAAGTTTTGATGGGAAAACGACAGGACACCTCAGTCTGAGGCGGGTCCTGGTCATCAGGGTGACTGCGCTGCGGCTCATGTGGTGGGAACAGCGCTGCGGGCAGGTCTGCTCCCCGTGGGCCGAGTCCCCGTGGTCTCTCCATGTGAGGAGAAGCAAGAAGAGTTTCCACAGAAATGCCACCAGGAAGATCAGTGGAAATGGGCTTCTTTATCATCATAGTTATGGGTTCTGATTTCATGATGGCGGTACAATCAGGCAGGTGCTCATAAAAGTATAATGTACATGTATTGGGACCATTATTTCTAATGTAGGAGAAATAATGTAGGAGATAAAATTAGTTTCCCTTAAAATTATTTATGAACTGCATATATCTGAAAAGATTCATAAATCAGCCGATGTTTCCAGCGGGAGCTAAGCTATAATGTGTTCCCTGCCGATTAATCCGGACGGAATTACACTGCACGTGGGCTTCCAGCAAGTCCACATCCAAACTGCGGACATCCCGATGATGAAGCGTCTGTGCCGCTGCCTCGGCTGGGACAGGAGCTTCTCGTTCGCTCCTCAGTAGACAACTCCAGCTGGACGTGTGCCCTGCACCACTGACCAGTCCAGGAGGGGAGCTCAGCCCAGCTCCGGGGTGGGGGGGAGGGGGAGGGGGAGGGGAGGGGGACAGGGATTGGAGGAGAAACTGGGCAGTGGGCCCACGGCTGGGAGGAGTGCTGCTCAGAGCAGTGAGCATGTACCGGCTCAGAATAATGGCCACAACTCACGCACGGTGTCCACCAGCCTCACGTGGCAGAGGCTCCGTTTGGACAGTCCCTGGCCTGATATTTTTATGTATGAAACTCAGTATGTTGCAGCCCTGGGTGTTCACTCAGGTGTCCACATGCGTGTCAGGTTTGGAGACTGGAGACTGACCTAGAGGTCCTGGTCCCCCAGTCTGTGGTTGTGGGTGTCCCAGCGGATGGGGGTGTCCTGGCCTGTGGGGGTGTCCCGGCGTGTGAGGGTGCCCCGGAGGGTGGGGGTGTCCCAGAGGGTGGGGGTGTCCCGGCGGGTGGCGTGTTTGTCCTGGTGGACGGCGTGTTTGTCCTTCCAGACGTGACAGTGTGGCTGATGGTGTCCTGCTGCAGGTCGTGCACATGGGTTGGGTCAACGAGAGGCTTGAAGATGCCGACTGCTCTCCGACCTTCACACCCAAGTTCCTGGCCCTGAAGGGCTCCTCGGTCTGCGTCTTCAGCTCCCCCCCCCCCCCCCCCCCGTGAGGACAGTGAGGATCCACGAGACCCGGAGGAGGGGCTGGGGGCACCTGGAGGAGAAGGAGGGGCCGTGCCCTTGTCCTCGTCCCCACGTGGCTGGGGGAGGGGGGTTCTGCTTGGGGTCATGGGCTTTTCTTTCTCTAAATCTGTTAACCCACTTATTTCGGTTCAAACAGCCGCTAAGATGGTCCAGCATGTTCCTGCTTCTGCGGATTTGGGGGTGGGGACATGGAAGGCCCATGTCCTAGAGCAGTGATGGCAAACCTATGACACGCGTGTCAGAGGTGACACGCGAACTCATTTTTTTGGTTGATTTTTCTTTGTTAAATGGCATTTAAATATATAAAATAAATATCAAAAATATAAGTCTTTGTTTTACTGTGGTTGCAAAGATCAAAAAGTTTCTCTATGTGACACGGCACCAGAGTTAAGTTAGGGTTTTTCAAAATGCTGACACGCCGAGCTCAGAAGGTTCGCCGTCACTGTCCTAGAGCATCAGTTATGTGCCAAAGAGTCCAGGACATAGACAAGCAGACAGACCCCTTCTCCTCACACATTTCTAGGTTATGGCCAAATGCCGGAATTTAAAAGCTATGTCTCCCTCAGATCATCCAAGTTTGTTTGTTTTTAAATATATGTTTATTGATTTCAGAGGGGAAGGAAGAGGGAGAGAGAGAGATAGAAACATCAATGATGAGAGAGAATCATGGATTGGCTGCCTCCTGCAGGTCTCCCACTGGGGGTCGAGCCCACAACCTGGGCCTGTGCCCTTGACCAGAATCAAACCTGGGACCTTGCAGTTTGCAGGCCAACACTCTATCCACTGAGCCAAACCAGCTAGGGCCATCCAAGTTTTATTAAACAGCCTGGCCCAGTTGGCGTGGCTCAGTGGTTGCAGTTACGGTTCGATTCCTGCTCAAGGGCACATGCCCGGGTTGTGGGCTCCATCCCCAGTGTTGGGCGTGCAGGAGGCAGCCGATCCATTATTCTCTCTCATCACTGATGTTTCTCTCTCTCCCCCTCTCCCTTCCTCTCTGAAAGCAATAAAAACATTTACAAAATAAACATCCTGATTTAGTCAGGCCATCATATAAATGTAATGCTGCACACTACAGTTTGCAATCTTCCTTTCCAATTCCTTCCAACGCCATTTCCTCAGCCTGGGCACCCAGCCTAGAAGTGTATCAGCCAAGGCAACTTCACCCCTGGAGTCTGAGCGTGAGAACTAAACAGCGAGACCTGGTGTCCTCGGGCCCTAAGCCTGGAGGAGGCACCACAGGGGCAGTGGCCCTTGCTCCTGAAGCTTCGGCCGCATTCGTGGAGCTGTTTCAACACTTGGTGTCGGATATTTAAATGGGAAAAGGCCCAGAGAGTTTGTGGTAAATAATTTAGGAAAAACTAAAAGACAAAGTCTTGTGTCCCAGGGTGGTTTCTGAGCTCCGTCAGGTGAGGGAAAGGCGTGGTGCTGAAGGAAGAGAGGGAAAAGGGAGGGGAGAAGGGAATGGAGTCGGGGTTGGGGGCCTGTGTTTATCCTGAGCCAGGAAGCCGGGTGGGGGGATCACCCCAGGTTTCCACGAAAGATGCCGCCATCATGGGGTTCACCCAGGCCCCTCCGTCAGCGGCTAGAGTATCCATTTCTTATTTGCGAATTGGAATCTGAGAAATAATGTTTCAGCTGCTCATGTTTTCAAACACCATTAAAAGGTGTTAAAATAACCGTATGAAATAAATGTTATAGCACCTCATGGCATTCACATAAATTATAGAGGAGTTGCCTGTGAATATGCAAGAAATATGAAGAGCAATTTTAAGAATGTCAACGAGGCAAGATGTCATTAAAAAATGTACCTGGAAATAAACCATTTGACGGCAGGTTTGTAGACGGAAGACACAGCAGACAACTCTGTACCCAGTAGGGTCACCGGAATCACTCGGGGCTACAGAGTGGCTCTCCGCAGTCACTGGAAGACGCCAGCGTGCTGCACCCGGTAGCTTACGTTCTGCTGTAAGCGGTCGAGTGGCCGGATAGCATAGGATGCGACCAGCCATTGTTACCGGGGAAACGCAGTGTGTTCACCCCTTTCCGCAAAGGAGCTGCGTCCTGGGAGACAGAGCGAGGATCGTTCACGTTCGCTTCCTGGCCAGAGACTCTCTGGTTTAAGGAAATGATGTCCTGGAGCGTCTGGTTTGCAAAATGAGGAATTTTTTGTAGCCGAAGTGGTGCTTGAATGTGCGTCTGCTCTGTAACCACAGCTCTCGACCCACGCGCCGCCCTCTCCCCACGGCTGCCTCTCCTCCTTAAAGGTGTCGGGCTTTTACCCTGGAGTTGTTTTCCTAAAACAGTGATGGCGAACCTTGTGAGCTCGGCGTGTCAGCGTTTTGAAAAACCCTAACTTAACTCTGGTGCCGAGTCACATATAGACATTTTTTGATATTTGCAACCATAGTAAAACAAACACATATTTTTGATATTTATTTTATATATTTAAATGCCATTTAACAAAGAAAAGTCAACAAAAAAAATGAGTTGGCGTGTCACCTCTGACACACGTGTCACCTCTGACACGCGTGTCACAGGTTCGCCATCACTGCCCTAAAACCATCAGGAGCACTGCACACGCCGGGGGAACATTCGCAAACACCCCGACGCTCTGCCTCTCTCCGAGGTGGTGCTGCGGCCCTGGCCCGCGCGGTCTCACACCGCCTGCTTTTTAACAAAGAGCAGTAACTTCACGTAAAATAAGAATCAGGATCCCTGTGCCCGCTCCCTGCTTCTCCATCGCACCCTCCGGACGGGCCGACCCGCGTCAGAGCCTCCGGGTCACCACACCGCTGTCCGCTCGCCAGCTTCGCACTTTTCATTTATTCTCTAGTATATATATGTTATGTCCTACTATATATATTTTGTAATATACATTCTCTTAAATTTAACCTAAAAAGACCTTTAATCTGAAAGGGACCCCAAATGAATTCTCAAAATTATACCCGTTTGTAACAGGTAAGTTTGTACGTTAGCACGTTCTTGTGTCAGACTGTGCACACCTCACAGGCGCCCACGCCCCCGCCCTCTCACCAGTGTCCACGGCCACCACAGGCCTACGTGCCGACCACCTGCTGCCGCCCGAGTCACTGTTGCGAGGGTTTCAGTGGCATGTTCCTCTGCACCAGCACGTTCCTCTCCTGGAGGCACTGAAAACTTCCCCACGTCACTGAGGCATCGCTGACGAGGAGAGTACCGTGGTTACAGTGCGCGCCGTGGGGGTGGTCTCCCACCCGGTCCCTCACCACGGCCGCCCCCTCCCGCACTGCCTTTCCAGCGGCTTGTGTTGTGTGCTGTCTGTTTTGCTGAGGATGCGAAGACGTGTGTGCGTTTCCTTTCCTGCAGGTGAGCACGCGGGACTGGGCGTGCGCAGAAAAGACCTACAGCCTCTGGGAGGTGCTGTTCAAAGCCCATGAGGTGAGTGTCTGCCATTGGCTGCACCGTGTGAGACGCCGCGGGGCGCACAGAAGGAGGGGAGCGGGGGCTCACAGGGCACAGGTTCCATCCTGGCCCAGTCAGGGCTTGTGCGGGAGGCAACCAGTCGATGTGTCTTCCTCACATCCATGTCTCTCCCTCTCTCCCTCCCTCCCTCCCTCCCTTCCTCCCTTCCACTCTCTCTAAAAAGCAATAGAAAAAATACCCTCAGGTGAGGATTTTAAAAAGGCCCTTCTGCTTTAAAAAGGCGCCTTCTTTTAAAAAGGCGAAGCAAGCCTGGGGGGCGGGGGGAGGGGGGCGGAGGTGTGTGTCTGGGAAGGGCGAGGGCGCTCACGGGGGTCAGCTGGACCGTGGCTGCTGGCTGTCGGGAAGCTGGTCAGCTGGGTGGTGAGGTCGGGCCCAGAGCTGCCCGGCCTCAGCCTGGCCTCTGTGAATAGACGTGTGCTAGCATGACTGAGGGCCCGTGTGCGGGGGTTGGGCCTGTGCGTCACGGAAAGCCGTGGCATCCGCATCTGTGACTCAAACCTGTAGGTCAAAGCATGAGGCTCCGGGAGGTCAGCGGCACAGGTCAGCAGCTAGTCGTTGGCAAAGGAAGGTCTGCCGTCGGCGGCCTCAGACCTGCTCCCGAGGACGAGCCCAGCTCCCCGACCGCAACTGGGCCTGCCGCCCTGTCCGCGGCATCGCCCCGTAAACACTCGCCAAGAGTTCTTCCTTGGCTGTCAGTCTTGACCCTCAGTTCAGCAACTATCGGTCCCAGCTTGCAGTGAAGGATCTGTGGCTCCACCCCCTCCCATGCACACACGTGTGCATGCGTACCATGCATGACACATACATGTACTATGTGTCGTGCACATGCGCCAGGCACACACATAACACACATGCACATGGGCACTTGTATCACACATGCCACTGCACGCACCACATGCGCACGTGTGTACATGCAGCATGGGTGCCACATGCATGCCCACATGCAGGTGTGCCACGCGCATATATATACCATGTGCACGCCGCATGCACATGGGCACGTGTACCATGCATACAACCTGCATGTGCTTACACATGTACACATGTACCACATGCACATAACACATGCATAAACCATGTGTCGAAATCACAAGACACGTGGATGGGGCTGTGAGCCGACTGCCTGCAGGTGAAGTAGGGTCAGTGAATAGTTTCTCCAGGCCTCGAGCACAGCTCTGAGGTCAGCTCAGGCGTCCCCCGTCGGGTTTCGTGGGAAAGTAGCCAGTTCCACCGAGAGCTCAGGAGCTCACACGTGACTTAGGTGTCATCTTTAGCCGCAGAGATCCCGACCCCCTGACCCCAGTCAGGTCTGCTGCTGCCTCAGGGGTGGGGAGGGAAAGGGCTGCTGATCTGGGGAGAGACTGGGTCTGCGAGGGGTGGAGAGAGGGGAGGAGGTCGGGGGAGAGGGGGCTTATAGAACCAGGGCTCCGAGCTGGGTTTCATCAGGGTCACAAGGACCCTGGTCTCATAGGGACAGTCTCCAGGCCGTACCCAGTGAGGGCTCGATGGTGTGAGTGGGTGAGCCAGAGCGCTGAGACGGGCCTGCATCTAGGGAGACAGAGGGACAGGGAGAGCCAGGGAGAGGGATGTGTTCTAAGCCGTGAAGTCTCCACTGGGACAATAGGAGGCGTGAGGAGGAGCCCGGTGGCCCCGCGGGGCCTCAGGCAGAGGCGAGGGCTTAGCTGTTTGCTGTTTCTTGTTAAATGTGAGCCCGGGAGTCCCAGGAGTCTTACCTTTAAAGTTGGATGTAGAGTAAGAAGTGCAGTTACCAGTGTTTCCAGTGAAGGTGCATACAGACAGCGAGGAGTGGGACACACGTCCCTGCAGAGGTTTGCGTAGGGCCCTGTGCACGGCTGAAGAGCACTGCTTCTGGCCTTGCCCCGGGGGTGGCCTACCCCCTGCCCAGCTCTCAGCAGCATGCCCTCCAGGCTGAGCAGACACCCCTCCCCGAGCTGCTGCCTGGGACCGCCTCTGTCCCCACATTCCACCCCTCTGTCTCAGTTCTGGTCCCCGGGGGACTGCTGGCAGCAAGCGCACCTGTGCCCGGGCCTCCAGGACCCAGATGCCCAGGACCCAGGGCTGCACAGCTTCAGTGTCCTGGTCTGCTGAGGCCAGAGCCACCGCTTCACCGTGGAGCTAGGCAGCGAGCTGGCCGCGTGGGAGGCGTCCTTCCAGAGAGCCACCTGCTGGGCGGTGTGGAGGGCAGGGGGGAGTGACCGCAGCTCCCAGGGAAGGGACCAGGCCTGGCAACACTCAGGCAGAGTGCGTGTGACAACCTGTGTGCGTGTGACAATCTGTGTGCGTGATGATCCGCGTGTGTAACAATCCGTGTGCATGTGACAACCTGTGTGTGTGTGTGACAATCTGTGTGTGACAACCTGCGTGTGCGATGGGGCAGCTGTGCCCAGAGGCCCGTGGATCTGTGTGCATGTGATAACCTGTGTGCATGTGACGATCCACATGTGTGGTGATCTGTGTGCATGTGACAATCCATGTGCATGTGACAATCCATGAGCATGTGATGGTCCATGTGCAGGTGACACTCCGTGTGCATGTTTTGATCCACGCCTGGAAAATTCCGTGAAAGCTGAGCATTCCCGTCTGAGTCATCATCTCAGGATGATGTTTCTGCTCAGGGTGCTGAGCAAGTACCAGGAGGCCTTAAGGAAAGTGGGGTGGGTGTGGGCCTTTCATGCACGTCCGTGGGACGTCCAGTGACTGAGGTGGGAGCTCGGCAGGGGACAGAGGGACAGGGAACAGAGACGGGGGACAGAGGGCAGCGGGTGACATGCATGAATGTGACCCGCAGTGACGCAGCCTGCAGAGTGAGGGAAGACTGAAAGAATGTGCGCGGCCTCCATCGGGCACTCAGATGGGGCAGCTGTGCCCAGAGGCCGTGGGCCCTCCTCTCGGACCCGGGCCGAGTCCTGGAGCAGGAACACCCTCCGCAGGCTCATCGCGGAGGTTTGTGAGGAGGTGCTGGCAGGACCTCCGTGCCCCTGGCCTCGGGTCAGCAGCTTGGTTAGACGCAGGGAGCACACAGCAGTAAAGCACAGACCTCTGCATTTCTGGGCTTTCGCCTGACTTGGTTGAAGTGTGCCCACGTGCGCGCGAGTGTGAGGCAGAGAGAGAAGGAGAGAGACAGGGAGAGAGAGAGAGAGAGAGAGAGAGAGAGAGAGAGAGAGAGAGAGAGAGAGAGAGAGAGAGGAGAGAGAGGCAGAGACAGACAGAGGGACAGAGAGCACGTGCCCCATGTGCTCTCATGTTCAAGTTCTGACGCCATGTGCCCTGCGGACAGACGGCATCTCAGCGTCTGGTCTGGAGCTCACATGTCAGCTGAGGCTGCTGCTCCCCATCAGCGTGAGGGCCCAGGTCCTGGGTTTGGCTTTGGGATGCTCGGCTGTTACACCCACTGCTCCCCAGAGTTTTCCCAAGAGGAAGCCACGTCTGGGTCCCCTGGACCGGGTGCTGGGCCCCGACCATCTGTCTGTCCGGAGGCGGCTGGGACACGGAGGAAAAGTGGACGCTCCACAGCGGGCCTTCGTGAGCAGCGGGAGGCCCACGCAGCAGGCAGGGGCTCCCACGCTCACACTCCCTGAGGCGCGGGGCGCGCTGGGCTGTTGGTCAGGGAGGGGGCAGTGTTTGCCGTCTCCGGTTCCACGTCGCGTGGGCTCCACCTCCACTCCCTGTGGTCTGCACGTTAAGACTGAAAGCCGTTTCTGAGCCTGGGGGTGCAGCGCCCCGAAGAATATTAACACTTTATTAGAGGATGTTTCTCAAAACCAACACTGTTTTCTAGTCTAAGACCTACCCGTGCAGCTGGCGGGGAGACGCGCTGCGCTTCACCGTGGACTTCGCCTCAGGATTCACCTGCTGCGACAGCAGGACACAGGTGAAGGGCACAAGGGGTGGGACCAGCATCCTGGGCCGGAGGGGAGGTGCCGGGGTCCAACCCCAGCAGGTCCAGGGGTCCCCAAAGGTGTGGATGGAGTCGGCGAAGAAGGAATGGAGTCGGCGAAGAAGGAATGACACAGAGACAGCGTTCAGTTGATCAGCAGCCTAGCCAGGATCTCTAGCCAGGATCTCCAGCCAAGTTCTGGTCTGGATCTCCAGCGAAGTTCTGCTTAGGATCTCCAGCCAGGTTCTGTGTCCATGTTCTCTTGCTAGGTTCTCCAGGTTCTCCAGCCAGGTTCTGTCCAGGTTCTCCAGCCAGGTTCAGTCACCAGGTTCTAGTCAGGTTCTCTTGCCAATTTCTGTAGTCAGGTTCAGTCCAGGATCTTTTGCCATGTTCTCTCCAGCGAAGTTCTTCTGTCTGTAGGTTCTGTGTAGGTTCTGTCTTCTTAGTTCTGTGTTCTAAGTTCTGTGTTCTAACTTCTGTGTTCTAAGTTCTGTGTTCTAAGTTCTGTGTTCTAAGTTCTGTGTGTTGCTGTCTTGTTTCATCTGTATTTATACCAGTTGATTCAATCCTATCAATCTCTATTACAAAGGTTAGGGCGTTTCTTATCTCCATTCCAGGGAGTAAAGATTATGTAGCTTAAGCATGATTGTTCATAGTTAAAGTGATTAATTACCCACCTGGCACTTAGTTAAGAGGTTTTATTCCCTCCCTAACTTCAGGGGAAAATCCCTACCTGGGGAAACAACCTTTCTCAGAGACCTTGGTTAAAACACATAGTGCCAAGAAGGTGAGCAAACATATTAAGAACAGTATGCCATATATGCCAGGTCCCTTGAAACAGCAAGCATGGACTGGCTCCCGGCAGGGAGGGTCGGAGAGAAAGCCGTGTGAGGACCGTTCTGTGGCCGGAGGGTGGGAAGGCGGGAATCTGGTGAGCTATCACCTGCCCGGTGTAGAGAAGCCAGTGTCTGCGTTCTTTATGTAGACGACTCGATGTGGGAATTGAGGTAACGACACGTGGGCTCTGGTTTCCGATCTCTGGTTCCCTCGTTCCCTCGCAGACCATCCTCTGGAGCTTTAGGTTCTCCCAGCTGCGGGGGTCGTCCGACGACGGGAAGGCCCGCCTCAAGCTGCTCTTCCAGCACCTCCACACCCGACAGGTTGAGACGAAGGTAAGGATGCAGCTCCCTCTGCACCAGCCGCCCACCTCATAGCACAGAGACGGGCAAAAGCTTGCCCACCCACACCCACACCTGCATACACTCACACACCTGCACACCTACACACACACACCCACACGCACACCTGCATGCACACACACACATGCACACACATATGCACATCCCACACACCTGCACATGCACACGCCTGCCCACACACAACTGCACACCTACACACACACCTGCACGCACGCGCGCACACCTGTATGCACACCTGCATGCACACACATGCACACACACCCACACACCTGCACACGCATACATACAACTGCATGCACAGTCAACCACACACATACCTGCATGCACACCCACACACATGGATGCACACACACACACACCTGCACCTACAGTCCCTCCACACACACCTGTACACCTATACACATAAATACCTGCATGCACACACTTGCACACACATCTGCACGCACTCACACACACCTGCACACACACATACACCCACCTGCCTCCTTTCCTGTGTCCTGGGGCCTGAGTCACCCGAGCGGCAGCGGAGAGGCCTGGTTGGCTGTGGCCACGTGTCCCTAATGCTCACACCCAGACGTTTTGCTCGGTCTTTCCTGCAGGAGCTGGAGTTCCAGGACCTCACGGCCGTCCTGCACTGCGTCCACGCCTTCCTCGCGGCCAAGGTTGCCTCCTGGACCCCGGCTTTGCGCGCAGCCAGGGCCTCAGCAGGAAGCCCCCGGGCAGCAGCTGAGCGCTCGGTCAAGGACGAGAATTAAATTATTTTCTTAAGAGACGAAGCTTTGCCGCCCAGCATTGGAGCTCTGTGGCTTTATAACGAGCCTACTGTTGTGATACCATAAAGTCCTTCCTGTTTCCAGCCACGGAAATCCTCGTTAGAGGGACGGTCCCACAGGGCGCAGGCGCGGCTGTGGCTGGGGCCCTGGCCCGTGAATCGCCACATCCCTGCGTCCCTCCAAGCCCTGCGAGGGGTGAGCCCCCACGCACCATGTCCCTCGCTGGCCACACCCGGGTTTCCTTCCACGGAGTGACAGGGGACCGAGCGCCCCCCCCCCCCCCCCGCTTCCCTCTCCCTGGAGAGGAAGTGCTTCCTGGGGTGGGGGGGTCCCCTCCCCTGCACCCAGGAGGAGGCGGAGCCAGGGGTGAGCTGGGCTATGAGCAGCAGGACTGTGGGGATGGGAGTCAATTTTTGTATCAAACATGACAAATGAGTTACAGTGTCATTAAGTAATGCATCATTTATAGGTTATTATTATTATTGTTGTTTTTGTTAATCCTCACCGGAGAACATTTTTTCCCCATTGATTTTGTTTTATTTATTTTTTATTTTTTTAAAAATATTTTTTATTGATTTCAGAGAGGAAAGGAGAAGGAGAGAGAGAGATAGAAACATCAATGATGAGAGAGAATCATGGATTGGCTGCCTCCTGCATACGCCTCACTGGGGATCGAGCCCACAACCCAGGCATGTGCCCTTGACTGGAATCGAACCCCAGACCCTTCAGTCCACAGGCCGCCGCTCTATCCACTGAGCTACACCAGCCAGGGCTAGAAGATGTATTTGTATTGTGGCAGCGACCAAATAGAAAATGCTGAGTTAGGTTGTGGGGGAAAAGGGTATATATTTTCTTGGTGCCCAATAGTAAGTGTAGACCACAGTAAGACTTAAGAGGTCCCCGTCCCCCCACCTCGGGGCGCCCTGGGGTGTGTTGAAGCCCAGTGGTGTCCAGGCGTCCGCCCCCTGGGAGAACACGCCCCCCTCCTCCCCCGAGGACCTCACTGCTGTGTGACGCCTGGTCACGCCTTCATGTTATAACTTATCTGCCCAAAAACTCGCATTAAAGTCTTCAGACCCCAGTCTCTTATCCACCCAGAAGGAGACGTTTCCAGCTTTCACATGGCAACACCAAGCATGAGGAGCCGGGAGGAGCAGGGCCTGGTTGGCCCGGGCTGTGCCGATGCAGCATGGCAGAGCCGTCACCGCACACGGGCGCACAGAACCGGTCACGGTGGTTGGCCAGTGTCAACAAGCGCCTCCTGACTTCGTGGATGTGAAGAGACGCCAAGCGTGACTTTGCGAAAAGGTCAATAGAAGCCTGTGTGTCCTCATTTCACTGAAAACACCCAGGAGTTTCTCCAGCGGAAGCCCGGGGTATCCCACGGTTCTAGAGACAGCTGCCTGCTATCGGACGTTAGCACAGTCAGGTCCATCCTTGTGTCCTACATGGTGCTCTGTCTGTGTCCACGCGGCCCCGCCTCCTTGTTCCCGCGCGCACTTCCAGCTGTTCACGTGGCCACGCCCGCACAGTCACATGACCACTCCCTCCTGCTGGCACAGCCAAACCCGTGTTCACATGATCATGTTAACGTAAAAAACATACAAACCTGTAAAGAATTTTTGTGCGTTTATTTGATCCAAACTGTGGACAATCGCTGGGAAGCAGAATCTCAATGGATTGGGATAATGCTCCGGAGAATGGCGGTTTTTCACCTATTTTTATAAATTACAGTCACAGGAGGAGATGTGATTTACCTGAAATCCATGGGTGATTGCCGGGAGCCGGTCCATGCTTGCTGTTTCAAGGGACCTGGCATATATGGCATACTGTTCTTAATATGTTTGCTCACCTTCTTGGCACTATGTGTTTTAACCAAGGTCTCTGAGAAAGGTTGTTTCCCCAGGTAGGGATTTTCCCCTGAAGTTAGGGAGGGAATAAAACCTCTTAACTAAGTGCCAGGCGGGTAATTAATCACTTTAACTATGAACAATCATGCTTAAGCTACATAATCTTTACTCCCTGGAATGGAGATAAGAAACGCCCTAACCTTTGTAATAGAGATTGATAGGATTGAATCAACTGGTATAAATACAGATGTAACAAGACAGCAACACACAGAACTTAGAATACAGAACTTAGAACACAGAACTTAGAACACAGAACTTAGAACACAGAACTTAGAACACAGAACTTAGAAGACAGAACCTACACACAGAACTTAGAAGACAGAACCTACACAGAACCTACAGACAGAAGAACTTCGCTGGAGAGAACATGGCAAAAGATCCTGGACTGAACCTGACTACAGAAATTGGCAAGAGAACCTGACTAGAACCTGGTGACTGAACCTGGCTGGAGAACCTGGACAGAACCTGGCTGAACAACCTAGTTAGGGAACATGGCTACAGAACCTGGCTGGAGAACCTAGCAAGAGAACATGGACACAGAACCTGGATGGAGATCCTAAGCAGAACCTCTCTGGAGATCCAGACTAGAACTTGGCTGGAGATCCTGGCTGGAGATCCTGGCTGGAGATCCTGGCTAGGCTGCTGATCAACTGAACACTGTCTCCGTGTCCTTCCTTCTCCGCCGACTCCGTCCACGCCTTTGGGGACCCCTGGACCTGCTGGGGTTGGACCCCGGCAGGTGATAGATTAGGGAGGCGGGAGAAAGCAAAGGGGAGGGGGTAGACCTCTGGGGTTGGATAAAGAGTGAAATGATAGACACACACTTCTTTTAGGTGAACGCAGGATAGTTAACAGTCAACAATTAACTCAATAACAATGAGGAGATTTGTGGTCTCGCAGAGCCAGTGCCTGTGCCCTGAGGAGTCTGGAAAAAGAAAAATTACTTTGACCTTCCAAGGATATTGTCGATGCAAAAAGACAATAGGCTCAGTTAAGGTTAAGATTGACCTTTGTCACAGAAGATGCCAGCCTAGGATGTGACAACACACCATGATTGCTTTGGGGTAAAGTTTTAATTTCAGACCATCCTGTGTGGTTACTTTAGGTCTCCGAGTTTGCAAAACCACCACACAGGCCTCCCCTGAGCTGTCAGGTGAGGATGTGGCCCCTTTGCGTCCACACAGCGTTCAGGTGATACCCCCGGCTGGATTAGGACGGACTGTCTGTACACCGTCGGTAGAGTGGATGGCTGTGGAGAGCAGGCCTCACCTGGGGGAAAACCGACAACGTCTCTGACACTGATCATGTCACATAGAGACCGAAGTCCCTTTCATGGACACTAACACAGTGTCACAGCTTCACTCGAGGCCGACAGTGCCTCAGCCTGGGCCCCTGCGGACACTGTGGGGTCCCGTCCGGTGAGTCTCCTTTCCTCCCGACCTCAGGCGGCTCCCAGGGCCTCGCACTCTCGTTTGTTCTGTCGTGCCCAGGATTTGTAGTTGTTGTTTTAAATTGTTTTCTGTCGGCCTGTCTATTATTTTTCTTTTTCACGTTCCCCCTCCCCTTTGGCAGCCATCAGCTCCACATCCATGAGCCTGCTTCTGTTTTGTTGCTTCATCATTGTCTTGTGTTTTTTTTAGATTCAACGTATAAGGGAAATCACATGGCACTTGGCTAGGTCCGTCCATGTCATTGAAACGGTAAGATTCCATTCTTTTTTGTTGCTGTGTAATGTCCCGTTGTACATAAGTACCGCTTCCTTATGCACTCACCTATTGATGGGCACCGAGGTTGCTTCCATATCTTGGCTGTTGCAGATAATGCTGCAGTGAACATAGGGGTGCATATACCTTTTCTTTGGGTAAATGCCCAGCAGTGGAATGACTTAGTCTGTGGCACCTCCATACTGCTTTCCTCCAGGGCTGTGCCGCACGCCCTCCCACCAGCAGAGCACGAGGGCTCCCTTTTCTCCACATCCTCGCTGCACCTGCTGTTTGTTGGTTTATTGACGGTGGCGGTTCTGACAGGTGTGAGGTGGCACCTCGCTGTGGTTCTCGGCAGCTCTCTGGCGACTAGTGTCGTTGAGCATCTTTTCATGTGTCTCTTGGCATCGGTGTGTCCTCGTCGGTGAGCGTCTCTTCAGATGCTCAGCCCGTCTTTATGAAATGCCGATAAAGAATGACGAGTCACTTTCCTAAAGCTTGCTGACCTTAGGTGGTCAGCATCAAAGACATTAAATTCAAATACGAATTTACTGAGCTGGGGGAGGAGGGTGGATGGAGGTGGAAGAGGGTGTAGGGGGGATAAATGGTGATGGAAAAAGTAAAATAAGGAAAAAGTGTATAGTTTACCTTTTGTTTTAAAGAAGAATTTGCTGAGCAGGAATCCTGCGAGCCAGGGGCCTGGGTGTGGGACCTCAGGGCTGGGTGAGGTAAGCCCTGATCTGCACACAATCAGAGCCGATGACCAGCGTCCTATCAAATACCACCGCGCCTCTCTGAGCGCAGACTGCAGAGTGCTCTGGGCACAGCCAAATGTGGACTAATCTGTGCTCACTCACCTGGGCCCCTGGCTTCTTGGAAGAAACAGAATGTTCTGGAACACGGTGGTGGTCTTAAAAAAAGGGAAGGTTGTTGTTTTGTTTTCTCATTTTGCAAGTAGATCAAACCAGCACAGAGCGTCACGGGTACTTGGCTTCAGTGAGCCTGTGAGTGGCTCTCACGGCCGGAAGCCTCTGGAAGCTTCCAGCGTGTCTGACGGACTGCGTGGATGTAGGAGGTGTTGGCTCCGTGTGGCTCTTCGCTGTGCTCCTCTGGTCACCCGTCCACGGGCCTGTCACCCCCAGGAATAGACACACACCCCCCCTTGGGAGGCTTTGCCACCCCAGCACCCACTGGGTGATGTTCTGGACGGACTCACTTTAAACAAGTTTCAGCCACCAAACCCACCGGCAGACAGTGGCGTTGTGTTCACTGAGAAACACTCAAACCTTAAAGAATTTGTGTGCGTTTATGTGAGCCAAACTGTCCACAGTCGCCAGGAAGCAGGTTTCACCTTGTTTTATAAATTACAGTCGAGGAGATTTAAGTCAGTTCCATGAAATGCGTGGGTGTAGATTCCGGAGAACCTCTGGGAGTGGGTGAAGAGTGAATGATAGACACTCCTTTTAACTTGGGTGGGTGCCCGGTCGTTCACAGTCAACAACGAACTCAATAACAATGAGGGGCCTTGTGCTTGAAGGGTGGGGAAGAAGGAAAATTACTTTGTTTTTGCAGAGGCATGTTCATCAGCCATGTTATCTTAGATGCAAAAAGACAACAGGCCTAGTGAAGGTGAGGATTAACCCTTATGGGGAAAATACTGCCTTAGGACATGACTCCCCACCAGAAACTGCTTTTAGTTAAAAAAAACAAACAAGTTTTCCTCTCAGACCCCCTTCGTGGTGACTGTAGGTCTCTGAGTTTGCAAGGCCGCCACGCAGGCCTCCCCTGAGCTGGTCAGGTCAGCACGTGGCCCCTTTCGTCCACGTGGGCACATATTCTAGTGGGAAATGGCCTTGACCTGTGGGTGGGACCTGCAGGGAACATGACCAGAACGTGTGCCATTAAATATACTTAGAGCAGTGGTTCTCAACCTGTGGGTCGCGACCCCTTTGGGGGTCGAATGACCCTTTCACAGGGGTCGCCTAAGACCATCGGAAAACACATCTATAATTACATATTGTTTTTGTGATGAATCACTATGCTTTAATTATGTTCAATTTGTAACAATGAAAATCCATCCTGCATATCAGATATTTACATTATGATTCATAACAGTAGCAAAATTACAGTTATGAAGTAGCAACGAAAATAATTTTATGGTTGGGGGCCACCACATGAAGAACTGTATTAAAGGGTCGCGTCATCAGGAAGGTTGAGAACCACTGACTTAGAGTCAGGCCCACAGAGCAGCTCCATTCAGTGCACGGCTGTGCTGTCTCGGCCACATTCACGAACGTGAGAGAGAAGGCGGAGTTCAGCACCCCGTGCTGGTCAAGCAGGCTTTCCCCCCACCTGTAACTCGAGAGTTTACTGTATACACAATATGTCCAGCACGGCCAGTGCTCAGTACATCGCCACTGAATTGAATCAATAGGAATGCACATGGCTCCTTTTTAAAAATATATATTTTTTCATTGATTTCAGAGGAAGGGAGAGGGAGAGATAGAAACATCAATGATGAGAATCACTAATCGTCTGCCTCCTGCACGCCCCCCACTGGCGATCGAGCCTGCAGCCCGGGCCTGTGCCCTGGCCCGGAATCGAGCCCAGGCCCCTCAGTCCGCAGGCCGATGCTCTATGCACTGAGCCAAACCAGCTAGGGCGACGCCTTTCCTAATTGTTCATGATGGAGTAGTACAGGCACCGTCTAAGGGGCCCCTCATAGGCGGTCACTGCAGGTAACTCCCCCAGCCGCTGATGGAGGAATTTTGGGACCATGTTGGTCCACTCCAGGGACAACCGATGAACAAAACACTCGAGACGGCAAATGCTGGTCACCACTGAGGAGAAAGACAGCTACACAACTTCCGTGTCCGCCCGGCGAGGTGAGCTGTCCCTGCCGTGGCCACCTGGCCCAGCCCGGACCCACCTTCATGTTTATTTCCGTCCTTATTACAGTAGCCAACCCTCTTACGGTTAGAAAACTTATCTTTGAAGTGTTATTAAACATTGGTGGGGGGTAGGGGGGCCCACTGGGTCACAGAAAACGCACGGAGCTGTAACCAGCAATTACTTAACAACCCAAAATATCTGCCACTGTCCTGTGCATGTGCCTTCGAAGCTCTGTTATGATGTGAGAGCCCCTCCGAGCTGAGCAAGGAGGATGTCATTTCCTTCCCATCTTGGGGAGACTGATGTGGACTCACTGCAGGCGAGTTTGTTCAGTTAATTTTATCTGAGAATTGAATGAGCCCCACGTAGAGCTTTCTTCATGTCTTGGCAAATCAATCATTCATGACTAAGCCTAAAGGAGATACTTTTAAAATGCCTTTTGTCTTTTACCAAAAAAAAAAAAAAAAAAAAAAAAAAGGTAAATAGATGGCTTTCTAATCATGCGGCCTTGTGGGGGGAAAATTCAAGCTTTAGAAGCATCGCGTAGGGTGCCCTGCAGGGGGGAGCCGAGGTGTCCTGTCAGCAGTGTTCTCTCTCCCTTTCTTTATCCCTCTCTCCCTCCATCCATCCACCCACCCACCCACCTACTCACCCACTCATCCATCCATCCATCTACCCACCAATCTATTCATCCACCCACCCACCCACCCACCCATCTATCCATCTATCTGTCTGTCCATCCATAATCTACCATCCATTCACCCACTCTCTCACCATCCATCCACCCATCCATCCATCCATCCATCCATCCATCCATCCACCTACCCATTCATCTACTCACCTACCCATCTGTCCATCCATCCACCCACCCACCCACCTACTCACCCACCCATCCATCCACCCACCCATCCATCCACTCACCCATCCACTCATCCATCCATCCATCCATCCATCCATCCATCCATCCATCCATCCTTCCATTCACCCACCCACGCACCCATCTACCCATCTGCTTACAAACATTTTTGACTGCTAATATTTGCCAGGCTTTTCTTGGACAGAACAGGAAACAAAACCGACACATCTTGGAGGCTTCCAGCTGCCGTGTCAGCCAGAAGCCTGTCCTCTCCCCATCACTCCCTGCTCCCCCCCGCCCCCCGATTGTCCTCCTCGTCATGTCAGATGGTCAGGCACCTGATCCCAGGTTCCCAAGGCTCGTGCCTGGGACCTTAAGGGGAGGCATATCACCTGCGAGGAAGTGACTGGGGTGCCTGCCTTCCTGAGTACACGGCACCTTCCGTAAACCCAGGGAGACCCCAGCCTCATGTTCACACCCGTCCAGCACAGAGCTTGGCCCTGAAGAGGCCTTCAATGAGCATGTGTGGAACCCAAGACTAAATCTACCTTTCTGAGCTGTGGAAAACATTTCAACTGGATTGTGTTCTAAATTAGGCCTTTGTTTTTAGACTCTTAACTGTCATCACAAAGCCCCAAACTGCCTAGAAAGAGAACATATATTCTCTCAAACTGAAATTTGCTCAAATCAACATTAAATGTGCACTGTTTGTTCTGTTTTGTTTCCCTGGGGCCTTTGTCCCATGTCAACTCGGACAAACACGTCCAGAGAGAAGTTCCCGTCAGCACAGGCGTTTCCAATCCCAGGGCCACACGGACCCAGCGCAAGGGAGGGGTGGGGGAGGGGGGGGAGGGGGGAGGGGGGGAGGGGGGGCGGGCCTTGTGGGGAAGCAGCTGTCGGGGCCCGACTGGAAGCCGTGGTATTTGCTCTGAAGGTTGAGAAAAGCCGTGTGACTGGGCTTTCACACACACCTGAGGGCAACCTGGGCTTTCAGAAGCGCACGCCTGGGCCTGTCACAGACGGGACAGCAGACGATCCTGGTGTGAGCTCCTCAAAAAGCCAACGCATTCTCTTTATTTCCGTTTCCAACGGCGCTTTCTTTTCAATCTTCCAGCTCGTCCTTGAGACGTGGTCAGCCAGCACAGGCGTCTCGGGAAAGTCCTCTGGTGCTTCGTTCCTGTCTCACCAAACGCCGATGCTCTCAGCACACGACACAGGAGCGAGGTCCTCAGGTCCCGGAACAAGCCTGGAGCGAAGAGCCCGCCTGGCATCGCTAGCGTCGTCCCTCGGCAATTCACCTTCCGGAAAGGCAGTTTGCTTTGGTCCGACCCCCAGGTGGCACCGAGGTGAGTTGCCTGAATCTTTGTCAGCGAGTGAGCCCTGGCTGGTGTGGTTCAGTGGATAGAGCCTCTGCGTGTGGACTGAAGGGTCCCAGGTTCGATTCCAGTCAAGGGCACTACCTCGGTTGCAGGCTCAATCCCTAGTGGGGGGTGAGCAGGAGGCAGCTGATCAATGGTTCTCATCTTTGACTCTCTCCCTCTCCCTTCCTCTCTGAAATCAATTAAAAAAAAAAAGGCAGCTAATGAATGTGCAGAGTTGGGGCCGGGGCCCCATTATTCCAGTGCTTTCTGCTGCTTCTGCTGATGTTCTGAACCCTCTCGTGAGCGTGCAACCGGCTCGAGGGCCCAGTGGACCGCAGAGGGCGGTCACGGTCCAGCAGTCACAGGACATCCTGCTGCCGCTGGCGGGGCCACCTGACCACGGACCCGTGTCCCGTGTGCAGGGTGTGCTCACAGGGGTGCCACGTGTGTGGTCGGAGGCTGCGTGTGTGCCTGGCTGTGGGCACTTGTCCTGAAGCAACAAGCTACTTGCATCAGCGCAGTCACATCACAGCTCTGATGCCAGGATGTCCTCGTGGGTCACAGGCGGGAAGCTCCACGTGGTCCCAGAACAGACACGACAGGGGGGCTCCTGGGCTGTCACTCACCCTGGCTCAGCGAAGGGGCGGGTGGCAGGCCAGTGGGCGGGGCTCAGGGCTGCGGGGGAGGCGTGGGGTGCTGAGGTGACATGTGCTGCTTCCCCGGACACGAGCTCGCGCCTCACTCCCCTCTGCAGACTGGCCCTGGGATGGTCGTCAGACCACGAGTTCCTTGTCTTATTATCGTTTTTAAAGCAAATATTTTTTAAAATGTATTTTTATTGATTTCAGAGAGAAAAGAAGAGAAAAGAAGAGGGAGAGAGATAGAAACATCAATGCTGAGAGAGAATCATGGATCGGCTGCCTCCTGCACGCCCCACACTGGGATGGAGCCTGCAACCCGGGCATGTGCCCTGACCAGGAATCCAACCGTGACCTCCTGGCTCATAGGTCATCCTGGTTAAGTTAACGCTCAACCACTGAGCCACCCTGGCCGGGCTTAAGTTGAGTTTTGATAGGAAAGCCTTTGGGTAACATTCCCAGCATCTAACTCAAGTCGAGAAGGGACTCCTGGTGCCTGGTCCCTTCTCCACCCCACCCTCACCTCCCCTCGTGGAGTCTGGCAGCGAGATCTCCAGGACGGAGGCCTGGCTGGGACCTGGGGCCCTGCCCTCCCTCCCTGCCTCCCTGGGGGGCCTGCCTGAGGGTGGTGACGCAATCCCAAGGCCCAGAACCAGGCCCTCCCCCCGGCCCTGCCGGCCACCTGGCTCTCTCCTCCCAAACCTCAGTATTGTCATTTCTAACCCAAACTCCCACCAGGGTGACCGGTCCCCAGGGGCCCCAGCTCCTCACAGAGTGGCAGGATGTCCCTCCATCACAGACACACTCCGTGTCGGCACCTGGGACCACACATTCCCGTGACCAGAGCTGGCCCATTAAAAGGTCCAATTACAGAAAAAAATCCAAGTTTTGATTCTGGCTGGTTTTTCACTGTTTATCAACAGCACAAGTGTAACCCCGCTGGGCGGGTGGGGCAGCTCCCTCCAAGCTCGCTGTCCCCTGCGGAGGGACCTTTTCAATGCTGATGGTGACAGTGTTATGCTGCCCATCCTGTGGCTGAGATTGGGGGGCTGCCCAGCCTGTGGTCTGAGATTGGGGGGCTGCCCAGCCTGTGGCTGAGATTGGGGGCCTCTGTGTCCTGTTGTAGAACTTCACCTCACCTCTCCCTCTGGGAGGCAGCCTCCTTATGCTCCACTGACTCCTGACAAGAGAGGGAAGGAGAGGAGGAGGAAGCGATTTCACAGGAAACCTCAGATGAGGTGGGAATGGGGCAGACAGCCTTCCCGGCAAACGTCACCCCAGGGAGCGGAGACGAGGCTGGGACACTGAGTAGGGAACGGCCAGCTTTGCGGGTCCTCGCCTGGTCCCGGGGCAGCCCCTTCAGCTGGCCGAGCGAGCGTCCAGCCCTCTTTTCCATTAGCGGCAGCTCAGGAGAGCGAGAGAGGAGGGCCAGGAGTTGTGGTCGGCTCAGCTGCTTTCTTCCTCAACGTGTTTTCTTTTCCTTTCTCCTGAAGCGTGGCCAGAGGCTCCGCCTTTCGGCCCATAGAGGCCTGGCAAGGACACCGGCCGGACTCTGGTCGCCCCAGGGACGGGCCACTCAGCGCGGCCACTTGAGCGGGCGCCGGAGCGCAGAGCCAGCTTATAGGGGAGCAGCCAGGCCCCGGAGCAGACGTGGCTGAGGTTCATGGCTCCGAGCAGCTGCTGCCACGGGCGCTCCCGGTCCTCACGCTCACCTCCGGGCTCAGAAGAGGAGAGGAGGTCAGCCTGTAAGACGTGCTGCTTCCATTTGCTGGGAGAAATGCACCATGGGAATGTGTGCGGGAGCCCGGGGGGGCTGTGATGTGGGCCATAGGGTGACTCTGGGGAGGTCTCCATGACCTCCGACCTCTGCTCGGGTGCCGGTCAGTTAACTCCAGACCAGACGCATCCCATCCAGGAAGCGCCAGGAAGCCCGGATGAGGGAGACGCGGTGTGGGGCACAGAAATGATGGGTGTGGGTCTGCTTTGTGATTCTGAGATCATTTCATGAGCAGGAGAGAGAAAGCTGTGAAATTCCTGTGCCTTTAGGGTTTATAATGGCTGAAGTCCTATAGTCGTTTTTTGTGCATAGAGGTGTTACGGGAAGCAGAGTTATTTTATTCCCAGACTTCCTCCCGGTAACTTTGCACAATTGGACGTCAGCATGAAACAAGGGCCGGCGTCACTGAGCTGCTCCGCTGACTGCTGCTGCCAGTCTGCCAGGTTCCTTCTCGGGTCATGAGGACCCTGCGGCGGCTCAGCCTGCGGGGCGGGCGGTCCTCCCTCTCAGGGAGGGACTTGGGTCCTCCGCTGCCCACGCCAGCCTCTGGGAACCTGCCGCCGTGTGGGGACAGGAAGGGTCAGCCGACAGAGGGCCTGCCTACAAGTTGCCCCAAAAGGCAGCCCCTGGGGACCCAGCCCTGCGCGTGTGTCTCTTCACTTGGTTGTAGAATGAGCGCGCCGGCCGCCCTGGGCGTCACGCTTGCCGTGGCCTGCAGCCTCCTGTTCTTCCCGGTCCTGAGGGGCCAGGCCCTCTGGGGTAAGTGACAGATGGGTGGGGTCTGAGGACCCGGCAAAGTCCCCGCCCTCCATTCCAGAGCAGAGGGCACTGGGGCTCAGAGGCAGGTGGGAGGCCCGCGGGTTCTCTCCCTTCCCAGAAAAAGAAGAGCCATTCATGAGTTTCACAGAATTAGAACAGCTCCTTCTGGAAAAGAACCGATTTTCCCAGGAGTGCTCGACAGACGTCCATTTACCTGCTCAGGTACTTGGAGCAGGAGAGCGTTTGGGAGCATCTGCTTGGTCCTTTGCCGTAAAGTCCCTTCCGTTAAGTAACTTATGTGGTGCCCTCCGGGAATCAGGGTGTTGCATCACCAGACCTGGTGACCAAAGCAGAAAGTCCTGCGGATGAAAGAAAATAAGATGCAGACGATGAACAGCAGGAAGCAGAGGCGTGGCCAGCAGGGGGAGGCGTGGCCAGCAGAGAGGAGTGGCCTGTAGAGGGGAGGCGTGGCCAGCAGGGAGAGGCGTGGCCTGCAGGGAGGGGCGTGGCCTGCAGGGAGAGGCGTGGCCTGCAGAGGGGAGAAGCAGGAAGCCTTTGTTTAAAAAGGGAAAAGTTGACAAATTCATTCCAGTTCCTTGAACTCCGTATCCTTTACTTGGAGCCTCGCATTTTAACTTGGAAATGGGTTTGCAACATTGCGGACCATGTGCCCCGGACTCCCCGCCAGCAGATGCTCACTTCTCGCAGCTCTGGAGGCTGAAGTCCAGTCCAGGCGCCGCGGACCTGGGGTCTAACGAGGGCCGCGTCCTGGTCCACAGACGCCACGGGAGGCCCCGGGTCTCTGCTGTCGAGGCCTGGACCCTGTTCATGAGGCCCCACCTCCTGCCGCCCTCAAACCGGGCGACGGAAGGTCAGCCGTGAATTTGGACGACAAACACCAGACCTGGCGCTTCCTGGCCATCCCAAGGACTGAAAGATAAAACAAAGTGGGCGTCTTTTCACTGGAAGCTGCGGGCACATTGGAGTGGTTTACCTTTCGTTAAAAGCACAGGCTAAGTCCTGGCCAGTTTGGCTCAGTGGATAGAGTGCCGGCCTGTGGACCGCGGGGTCTCGGGTTCGATCCTGGTCAAGGGCACAGGCCTTGATTGCAGACTCCTCCCAGCCAGGGCCCTGGTGGGAGCTCGTGCAGGAGGCACCGAATCGATGTATTTCTCTCACATTCATATTTCTTTCCCTCTCTCTTCCACTCTCTCTAAAAACCAATTGAAAAATATCCTCTGGTGAGGATTTAAAAAAAAAAAAGCACAAGTTAAAAGGCAAATATTACCATGAATTTTCTGTATTACTGGTTCAGGCAACAAAAATATTCAGAAAAGGCTGTAGAGAATCGTGGCGGCCGGGGCCAGTGAGAAAAAGGCACAGCCCACTGCACCCACCTGAGGCCAATGCAGTGGGCCCCGTCCTGGTGCCCGGGCACTGGCGCTCTGCCGGCGACAAGCTGCCACAGGTTAAGGTGGGAAGACGGGCAGGGGCCCAGCTGCAAGCGGCCACAGCTGCACCACGGAGAGGCTGATAGGATGTGGTGCTGGCTGTTCATGCTGCGCTGAGGGTGGCACTGGTTCCACAGGGAAGTCCGAGGACTCGCACGCGCTCAGCGTTTTGGAGGAGAGCCGGCGCCTGGAGGACACGGCCACCTACAGCACGAGGGAGAGGTACGTCCGCGCCCACGGAGGGGACTGGCCATGCCCGGCCCGATGTGCCTGGTCCTGTGACACCTTCACCTGTTTCCCGAGTTTCATCTCACAACCACCTCCAAACTGGCCCAGAGTCTCCGTTTTGCAAATTCAGAACCGGAGCTCACATGGACTAATGCACTTACCACCGTCTGTGGAGGCAACCGGAGGAAGCACTATTCAGTCTCCCAGTCTTTCTCTAGCAAAACAGAGCCAAGCATAGCCATCGCCCGGCCAATGACCGATCCCGGCCTGGGGGCGGGGGAGGGGGGATTGGAAGTCCTGACGGGTGGGCGGTTTCTCTCCCAAGAATTAGGCACCAGCTGCGGAGACAGGGTTACGGCTGCTGGGATAGAGCCGAAGTTCACCAGGGCTGTGGGACTAAATCTGCCCATGTTCTCTCTCTTTTTTAAAAATTTGTTCAGAGAGGAAGGGCGAGGGAGAGAGCGATAGAAACATCAATGATGAGAGAGAATCACGGATCGGCTGCCTCTACACTGGGATCGAGCCACAACCTGGGCATGTGCCCCAACCAGGAATGGAACCGTGACCTCCTGCTTCATAGGTCGACGCTCCTGGGAACACCAGCTGGGCAAGAAGCAGTAGACTTTATATCTCCCCTTTGTGCCATAGAAACCTCAAGAAAAGAGACATCATTTCTCCATCTCGGCTTCTGTCTTTGCCCAAACGCCCTGAACCAACAAGCCAAGCCATTTCCCGATTGGCAGAGCTCACGGAGACGCCCGTGTGGGCGATGAGCAGAAGGGCTCACCGGAAGCAGTCACAGCCTCCAACAGGTGAGCGAGCGCTCGGAGGGGTCCCGGTCCCCCCGGGAGTGCCAGCCAGGAGTACCCCTGCTTCAGGGGCCGGGCGGGGCCCCAGGAAGGCATGACTCCTACTCACACGCAGGACTAACCCAGCAGTTGGTAAAACATGATCTTCTGTTTTTGTTCGTCTGAGGATGAGCTGTTTCTCTCCTATTCAAATTGGATTTGGAGAACCAGCTCAAAGTTAATTTGTGAACAAACAGCAATAGAATTGGCAAAAGAAAAACCCACAAAAACGAAAGAGCCTGTTTTCTGGGGTCCTGACCTGGAACATTCAGCAGCATCAGCAGGAAGGAGCAGGAAGGTTTTGTAGACGGACACACCCATCTCGTCAGAGGACTTGGCCCGGCAGGATTTAGGCGGGGAGGGCAGATACCAGGTGGTCGCCGTCCACTGAAGCATCGCGTGGCTGGACACAGGCCTCCCCTGTGCCGTGTGCCATCGAAGACATGCCCAGCGAGGTCCTGGTCACCCCGAGAACTGGCCTTCCCCGGGCTCAGAGCTCTTGAGACCTGCTTTTCTGAAAGATCAGAAGAAAATAAAATTTAAAAGCCTGTCTTCTGAGCAGTGGGGATGCTCTTGGGGGTTGAGCGGGAGGATTATTATGTGGGACCCAGGCCCCGGAGCCCACGGGCAGGAGCTGGGCCAGCGGGCGTGGCCTCACAGATGGTTTACGCCCAGGTGTTCCCCAGATGCTCTGTCGGAGGAGCTGCTGAGCACCATTGCCAACGTGTCGGGGTGCCTGCCCCACATGCTGCCCCCACAGTGTCCGGACACCTGCCTGGCCGACAAGTACCGGCTCGTCACGGGAGCCTGCAACAACAGGTACCTCGTCACCCTGACCTGCGGTTTGGATTGGAAGCTGACTCCCTCCCGGCCTCTGTCCTGGCCCCTCACCCATCTTTACACGTCGTCTGAACGCCCGTCTGGCCGGCGCTGCCTTCCACATGGTCCTGTGTCCAAATGGCAGGGCCTCTGGGACCCCACACCCTAGGGTGGGGGTGGGGAAAGGGTCACACAGGGTGACCAGGAACGCGGAGGAATGAGCAGGGTGCGTGATAGGCGGGGAGCGGGCCTCAGCCTCGTGCTGCGGGCAGGCCCCACTCGCGGATCGGGCCTGAGACGGGACCAGCAGGAGGACGCGAGGTTCCTCCCTGCGACAGGCACACAGACAGGCCCTGCCTGGGAGAGGCCGGGACTCAAATGTAGACAAAGACCACCCTGGGTGCTGAGAGGCAGAGAGCAAAGGTCCCGCCCGCCACCTCGCTTCTGAGCTGAGGTGGTTCAGCAGTTCCCCGACCTCTTCTCGCAGCCCCTTCGCACTGAGCGTGCACATGTGAGGCAGGAGCAGGCACAGCCCCGGGCGGGGTGGGCGCCTGAGGGACGAGCACCAGCAACTTCCCAAACTGCATCTTTGTGGGAGCCCCCCAAGTCTCTGTCCTTCAGGGGGGGCCACCCCCCACCCCCGCCTGTGCGGCCGCAGTGTGAGGGGCACCTGAGCCGGAAGGGCTGTTGGAAGGTGGGAAGGTGTGTCCTGGGCTGAGGGAAGGGCACACCTGGAACCTGGAACCTGGAACCTGGAACGTGAGAGGATCCAGATCCATGCGCCTCCAGGGGCCCGTTCACTCGGTGGCCCCCCTGGTGTGAGTCTGTCTGGAGGCCGTGGTGTGAGGCCGGCTGGAGGCCCTGGTGTGAGGCCGGCTGGAGGCCGTGGTGTGAGTCTGGCTGGAGGCCGTGGTGAGTCTGGCTGGAGGAGGCATTGAGCCAGGGCCTGGGGGAGCCTGCCCGGGGGCTTCCCTTGAGGATGGTTTCTTGTAGGTGGACCTGCTGCCTCCTCCCTCCTCCTCCCGCCCCTCCCCACTCACCTGGGCACCGTTGTCTCCATAGAGACCATCCCCGGTGGGGCGCCTCCAACACGGCCCTGGCCCGGTGGCTGCCGCCCACCTACGAAGACGGCATCAGTGAGCCCCGAGGCTGGAACCCCCACTTCTTATACAACGGGGTTCCCCTGCCCCCGGTCAGTGCCCGACACTGCGTGACCTGCGTTAGGGTTAGGCTCCATGACCTGTCCCTAAGCCCGGGGGGAGGTGGCGGGCTGTGTGCGGGTGTCTGTGGGGTCCCTTCCCCCTCCCCCTCTCCCCTGCGGGTGGGGCCCCTTGTGGCAGAGGAACTGACGTCACCCGGTAGCGAGGGGACCGCAGGTTAAAGGCCTACCTGCCTCCTGGGGGGGGGGGGGGGGCGGGGTCCTAAGGCCTTTGTCACAGGGGAAGCCAGGCCTGTTCAGATGTCAGACATGTGGTAGTCAGGTGCTGGCTCATCCCAGCCAGTGAGCCCCCCCCCCCCCCCCAGACAGACCCCTGCCAGTCCGGCCTGACCCGCGGATCCCTTTCTCTCCAGGTCCGGGAGGTGACACGGCAGGTCCTCCACGTTGCCAACGAGGCGGTGCGGGAGGATGGCCAGTACTCGGACCTGCTGGTGGCCTGGGGGCAGTACATCGCCCACGACATCGCCTTCACGCCGCAGAGCCCCAGCGCCTGCCCGCGGGCCTGCGAGAACCGGGGCCCCTGCTTCCCCATCCAGGTACCGGGTGTTCCCAGGGTCCTGCAGGGGTGCCGGGACCCCAGGTGACCGCGCCTCCCCGTCTCCCACAGCTCCCCGCCTCCGCCGCCCAGGCCGCCGGCGCCGCCTGCCTGCCCTTCTACCGCTCAACGGCCGCCTGCGGCAGCGGGGCCCAGGGCGTCCTGTTGGGCAGCCTGTCCCCGGGGAACCCGCGGCAGCAGATGAACGGGCTGACCTCCTTCCTGGACGCGTCCACCGTGTACGGCAGCTCCCCGGCCGCCGAGCAGCAGCTGCGGAACTGGACCAGCGCGGAGGGGCTGCTGCGGGTCAACCAGCGCCACCACGACCACGGCCGCGCCCACCTGCCCTTCGTCTCGCCCCGCGCGCCCCGGGCCTGTTCCCCTGAGCCCGGCGCCCCCGGCCGCACGCCCTGCTTCCTGGCGGGGGACAGCCGGGCCAGCGAGGTCCCCGCCCTGACGGCCCTGCACACGCTGTGGCTGCGAGAGCACAACCGCCTGGCGGCCGCCCTCAAGGCCCTCAACCCGCACTGGAGCGCGGACTCTGCCTACCAGGAGGCGCGCAAGGTGGTGGGCGCCCTGCACCAGGTGTGCCAGTGCCCTCCGGAGCCCCGGCGGGTGCGCGAGGCCACGTGGGCGCCCCGGGGGGGGGGGGGCAAGCTGCGTGGGTGCCCCTGGGCGGGTGCGCGAGGCCACGGGGGTGCCCCTGGGCGGGTGTGCAAGGTGGTGGGCGCCCTGCACCAGGTGCGCCAGTGCCCTCCGGAGCCCAGGGCGGGTGCGTGAAGCCACGTGGGTGCTCCGGGAGGGGGGCAAGCTGCGTGGACGCCCCACACCAGGTTACCCCGCAGCTTCCTGAGGGCTGGCTGCCCGGTCTGCACTCTCATCCCCTGGGGGAGGGGGGGGCTGACATGTGACCAGGAGTCCGGCAGGAGCAGGTTCAGTCCGCCCGCTGGTTCCTGGCGCCCAGAGCTTTAGGGTTTAACTCAGTGGGTCCTGGCGACCCTGAGCCACCTGGGCAGCAGGGCCTTTGGTAGCTTATGCTTTGAATCAATGGAGAAGATAGAGAAAAACAATGTGCGTGAGGCTGTGAATCACAAGTGGAATAGGAGTCTTAGTCCTTTCCTCATTTATGGTGGTTGAGGTGGAATCAGAGGATTGCTGTTGTGTTCCGTGTGCAACTTGTTCTTCCCGCCTTCCACCGCCTGTGATTTAAGACTTTCCAGACTTTCCTCCTGCCAGTGGGCCTGTGGTGTGGTGTGTATGTGGTACGAGTATGTATATGTGTGTGTTGTGTTGTGTTGTGGGTGTGAATGGGGATGTGGCTCTGCATACGTGTGGTGTGTGTATGGTATGTATGCACGTGGTGAGTGTATGTGTGTACATGTGGGTATGCATGCGTGTAGGTGGAACGTAGTGTGTGAATGTGAGTGGCACATGTATGTGTGTGTGTGTGTGTATGTGTGTGTGTGGTGGCTGTACATGTGGTGAATGGCACAGGTGCTGGAATAGCAGGCGGGAGCTCTCTCCCTCGTTCTTCCTCTTTGAAATCAATAAAAATAATTTTTTAAATCAATTTTTAAAAACTCTGTGGAAGAGGCTTTTGCAGCTAAGGAAGCAGCCCGGGTGGGGGTGGGGGCTGCCGACCTCCTGGGGTCACGGGCTGGTCTGCGTCCTGAGCTCCGGGTGCCAGGTCCCTGAAGATTGGATGTTCGCTGTGGGTGCAGGAGCTATTGCCGCGCCCACAGGGGGAGTGGGCGCGAGGGGAGAAGGCGGTTTGGACGGAAGTCTGTCACGTGTGTGAGGAGCCCGTGGGCGGCAGACCTCCCGGCCAGTCAGTGCTGAGGCCCAAGGTGGCCTGGCGTCTCCTGTCCTGTCCTGCCCCAGAGGGAGTGGGGCGGCTCTGACATCCGCCCAGCCCATCGATGCGGAGCTCCGAGACTGTCGGATGGTTGGTGCTGCACCTGCTCACCTGTGTCCATACCTGGGCGGCGTGGTCCCTCCCCGGACACCTCTGAGCCCGGGCTGGGCAGGGAGACCCTCCTTCCCTGAGACGGACCAGCCCTGCTGCCTCCCCCGGCCCCCTCCTCCTCTCTCATCCCCCCTCAGAGACTCCCATTTCTCCTTCCCTGAGACGGACCAGCCCTGCTGCCCCCCCGGCCCCCCGGCCCCCTCCTCCTCTCTCATCCCCCCTCAGAGACTCCCATTTCTCCTTCCCTGAGACGGACCAGCCCTGCTGCCCCCCCGGCCCCCCGGCCCCCTCCTCCTCTCTCATCCCCCCTCAGAGACTCCCATTGCTCCTTCCCTGAGACGGACCAGCCCTGCTGCCCCCCCGGCCCCCCGGCCCCCTCCTCCTCTCTCATCCCCCCTCAGAGACTCCCATTGCTCCTTCCCTGAGACGGACCAGCCCTGCTGCCCCCCCCGGCCCCCCGGCCCCCTCCTCCTCTCTCATCCCCCCTCAGAGACTCCCATTGCTCCTTCCCTGAGACGGACCAGCCCTGCTGCCCCCCCGGCCCCCCGGCCCCCTCCTCCTCTCTCATCCCCCCTCAGAGACTCCCATTGCTCCTTCCCTGAGACGGACCAGCCCTGCTGCCCCCCCCGGCCCCCCGGCCCCCTCCTCCTCTCTCATCCCCCCTCAGAGACTCCCATTGCTCCTTCCCTGAGACGGACCAGCCCTGCTGCCCCCCCGGCCCCTCCCGCTTCCCCTCCTCCTCTCTCACCCCCTCAGAGACTCCCATTGCTCCTTTCCCACAGATCATCACCTTGCGGGATTACGTCCCCCAAATCCTGGGCCCCCAGGCTTTCGGGCAGCACGTGGGCCCCTACAAGGGCTACGACTCCGCCGTGGACCCCACAGTGTCCAACGTGTTCACCACGGCTGCCTTCCGCTTCGGCCATGCCACGGTCCACCCGCGGGTGTGGCGGCTGGACGCCAACTTCCAGGAGCTCCTGCCCCCGCTGCTGCTGCGCGACGCCTTCTTCAGCCCCTGGAGGGTCCTTAACGAAGGTGCGAGCCCCCCTCCTCTCTCTCCCTCTCCCTCCCTCCTCTCTCCCTCCCTCCCTCTCAGAGACAGAACCCACCGCAGCCCCCTCAGTGCCAGCGAGCCCCACCGTTCACGTGGGCAGTTGGGTGGATCTTGCCAGTCATCGGTGTTTATGGAGAAAGCACGTGTGCTCGGAGCTTTTATTTTTCCATTTAATTTTAAACATATTTTTATTGACTTCAGAGAGGAAGGGAGAGGGAGAGAGAGAGAAACATCAATGATGAGAGGGAATCACTGATTGGCTGCCTCCTGCTGGGGATCGAGCCCACAACCCGGGCCTGTGCCCTGACCAATCCGACCGTGACCTCCTGGATCATAGGTCGGTGCTCACCACTGACCCACACTGGCCGGGCTGCTGGGAGATTTTAAAGGCTTAACTGTGCCTCAGAAACACCTGTGTCAGGCCTTGCAGCTCAGCATTCCAGGGGAAAGTGTCCCAGGCCCACTGCCTCCCCCCCCCCCCCGTGGTTTCAATGACACTGAAGGAAATCGGACTTTATATCCCACCTGATAAACGAGGCCCTTTTCCGTAAACACTGTCCGGAGGCCACGCTCAGTGCTACGTGGTTTCAGAAGGTCACGGTGGGGTCACGTGTGGAAGTGAATAGTTTAGAAACCGCTTCAGTTTCTGGGTTCTCCACACTCCCCGGTCCCTCCTTTCTTCCTGCCCCCTGTTCTCTCTCTGTCTGTGTGTCCGGAAGCTTCTCTCCGGCTCCGAAGGCTCTTGGCTCTGAGTGGCTGTGGGGAGGAGGATGAGGCCGCCACTGTACCTGCTCAGTCGCCACGGAAACGGTCGGCACAGCGTGTGGGAGAGGCCAGGGTGCAGCCAGGCTGCCAGGGGATCTGACCGGTCCCCACAGGGTCCCCAAGGGTGGCTGGCGCTTTGGAGGTGAAGGGCTGCCCGCCCCCACACTCCTCAGGGCTCCCTCAGCCAAGCCAAGTCCCCACCGCTGTTACTGATGTTAAAATTCAGCAACTGTAGTGTTTTTGCTGCAGAAAAATAAAGCAAAAAACTTGAGCATCTGCCCTGGCCAGGTTGCTCAGTGGTTAGAGCCCGTGGACCGGGGGTTCCCGGGTTCGATTCCTGATCAAAAGCACGTCCCTCGGTTGCGGGCTCGATCCCTGGCTCTGGTCAGGGCACACGGGGAAGCAAACAATCGATGTGTCTCTCCTTCTCTCCCCCTCCTTCCTCCCACCCACTCTCTAAAAATCAGTGGAAAAAGGAGCCGCGGGTGAGGATTAACAACAAACACTCGAGCATCTGAGGGGCTCACATCTGGGTCCCCTCGGACCTAAGTCCCGACCACCCCGCACCCGATCAGTCCCCTCAGGCTCGGGGTCCAGCAGGGCCAGGCACCCACAGCCGGCGTCGGAGAGAACTGGAAAGCTTCGGGGGCTGAGTCGGGGACCCCCGAGGGCGTTGGTTAGGAAAGCGTGTGGTTCAGGTCTGGCCGGAGACACGTCGCCCTCGGGTGCTTGCAGGAGGTGTGGACCCCCTGGTGCGGGGCCTCCTGGCCAGGCCGGCCAAGCTGCAGGCGCAGGGCCAGCTGGTGAGCGAGGAGCTGACGGAGAGGCTCTCCGTGCTGGCGCCCGCCGGGACCTTCGACCTGGCGTCGCTGAACCTGCAGCGGGGCCGGGACCACGGGCTGCCAGGTGAGCGCCTCGCCCCCCCCCACCCCCCGGGGCCGGGCTGGGCCTGGGGGCGAACGGGAGGCCTGCTCCCTGGGTCGGGTCTGGAGTAACTGTCTGCAAACCCGCTGTCCACTTCCCAGAAGCGGGCTTTTCCCCGTTCTAATCGGTGTGTAGTGTCTCCTTGTTCTCCTTGTTGTGTTGTTGTTGTTGCTCTATAGGGCTGAAATGCTTTTATTGTTTTCATTTTTATTTATTTTTATGTTTTAAATATACTTTCTATTTCAGAGAGGAAGGGAGAGGGAGAGACAGAACCATCAATGATGAGAGAGAGTCATTGATTGGCTGCCTCCTGCACGCACCCTACTGGGGATCGACCCGCAGCCCGGGCATGGGCCCTGACCAGGAATCGAACCTGGGACCCTTCAGTCCACAGGCTGCCGCTCTATCCACTGAGCCAAACTAGCTAGGGCTATTTTTATTCATTTTAATTTTTTATTTTTTCCCTTGGTACTATATTTCCTGTTTTTTTATGTTTTTAGATATTCACACTCTTTATCTTTCATTTTTATTTTTTAAAAAGCTTTATTGTTGAAAGTATTAATATGTTCCCCTTTCCCCCATTGACCCCCTAGCACCCCTGCTCCCCGCCCGAGCCTCACCCCTGTTGTCAGTGTCCATGGGGGATGCCTATCTGCATACAAGTTCTTTGGTGATCACTTCCCACTCACCCCCTCCCCCTTCCCTCTAGTCCATCTGCAGAGGAGCCGCTCACTCTCTTAGACAACAGGACCCTGTGGGCCTGGCGCCCTGTGAGGGAAGAGCCCAGCGGGGGGAGGGGGTCAGGGAGGCTGGGTGTCTGGGAGGCTGGGTGTCCGGGAGGCTGGGTGTCCGGGAGGCTGGGTGTCCCGGGCCCATTGTAGAGTCTGCGTTGGGCCTCCCAGGGCCGGCCTGCGCGATTCAGTGTCACAGGGAGGTCAGGATCCACGCCTCCCGTCCCCGTCCCCCTGGCCCCCGGCCTGGGCTGTGCCTGACCCGCTGGCCCAACCTCCCGGCCATGGTGTGCCCGGCCCCTCTTCTCAGGCCGGGCCCTGGGCGTCCCCCCTGCACCCTCCCTCGGGTCCACTCTGGGCCCCTCTCCCCTCAGCTGTCCCCTCCATACCATCAGCCCCAGGCCGTCCCTGCCCCCGGCCCCAGGCCAACCCAATGCCCTGTTCCCTGTGCCCGTGCAGGGTACAACGCCTGGCGGGAGTTCTGCGGGCTGCCCAGGCTACACACCCAGGCTGACCTCGGCAGCGTCATTGCCAATGGCAGCGTCGCCGACCGGATCATGCGCCTGTACCAGCACCCGGACAACGTGGACGTCTGGCTGGGCGGCCTGGCCGAGGACCTGCTGCCGGGCGCGCGGACGGGGCCCCTGTTCGCCTGCCTCATCGGGAGGCAGATGAAGGCCCTGAGGGACGGCGACCGGTAGGTGTCGGGGCCGGTCACCCACAGCCCGGTGCACAGGAGGCGGCCAGGCCTGGGCCGGGGCCACGGCTCGGCAGGGTGTGGCAGGCAGGCTCGCTCCCCGTAACGCTGGGGAGAAACACCTGGACGTCCTCTCGCTCAGAGCCATGATGTCCTGGACGGGAGCCCTGACCAGGGTGGCCCCGGTCTGCTCCCTCCGTGCAGGTTTTGGTGGGAACACGGCGGGGTGTTCACGGAAGCGCAGAGGCGGGAGCTGGGGACGCACTCCCTGTCGCGGGTCATCTGTGACAACACGGGCCTCTCCCGCGTGCCTGCCGACGCCTTCCGCGCGGCCACCTTCCCCCAGGACTTCACGCCATGTGAGGGCATCCCCGGCCTGAGCCTGGAGGCCTGGAGGGAGGCCCCCCCAGGTAACTGAGCCCCCTGCCGCCTTGGTTAAGGGCACAGGCCCCAGCGCAGGAGCGGCTGCCGGTCAGCACGTTGGCAGAAAGCAGCAGGGAGCTGGGCCGCATCCTCGTGGCGTCCCCTCTGGCGGGCAGGACGCCCCGGCCGGGACCCTCCCCGGAGGAGGACGCTGCCCGTGTGGCTGGGTCAGTGCCGAGGGGCGCCATCATGGCTCCCGGCCTCACAGGAGTGACGGCTCGGGCGCAGCCTTGGTTTCCGGGGGACGGGGTGCCCCGCGCCCCCCACCCACCCTGGCCTCCACCTGCCTGGTCCCCGGGGGCCCCCCACACTGATGGCTGCAGTGGGTGCAGGATGCTGACCTCCCTGCGGAGCCAAGGCCCCTGGTTGAGAAGCTGTCACCTGGATGACACATTTAAAAAAAATGTTATAATTGATTTCAGAGAGGAAGGGAGAGGGAGAGAGAAACATCCATGATGAGGGAGAATCATAGACCGGCTGCTCCTGCACGCCCCCCACTGGGGATGGAGCCCACAACCCGGGCCTGTGCCCTGACCACAGGGAGAGACACAAAGCCAAGGGCACAGGGTGGAGGAAAGTGGGGACTCCAGGCAGAGACAGCAGGAGAGGCGGCAGGTTTCCCATTGAGGGAAGAGAACCTGCAGCCTGGGGGGCCGTGTGGGACCTGGGGGACCATGTGGGGCCTGGGCGGCCGGGCTGTGCCTGAGGGGCTGTGCGGGGCCTGGGGGACCATGTGGGGCCTGGGGGGCCGGGCTGTGCCTGAGGGACCGTGCAGGGCCTGGGGGGACCGTGCGGAGCCTGGGGGGGCCCGGGGGGGGCCCGGGGGGGCTGGGAGCAGCCCCAGGGAGGTGACGAGGTGACAGAGCTGACGCCCTCTCCCCGGCCCAGAGGACGTGTGTGGCCCCCTGAAGCGTGTGGCAAACGGGGACTCCGTGCTGTGCGGGCCCCCAGGGCGGCGTGTGCTCGTGTTCTCCTGCCGGCGCGGGTTCCGGCTGCAGGGGCCCCAGCAGCTCGCCTGCTCCCGCCCGGGCCGGGACGACCAGCCCCCCGTGTGCGAAGGTCAGTCGCCAACAGGCGTCCTTCAGTGGCTCTGCCCCAAACCTGCCCTTTCAGACGCGTTAAAAATGAGCCTTGTTCTCGGGGGTGCTCCGGGCACAGGCGTCCCCACCCGTGTGGCCGGGAGGTCATGGTCCGCTCCTGCCGACCTGTCCCCGGGGCACACCTTTCCCAGACGAGGCGTCCAGGTGGGCGCATCCCGGGGCCCGCGGGGGACGCAGGCAGGACGGACGGCAGCCTGGGGGGCGGGTGGTAAAGAAGCTGCAGAGCTAGTTTCTCTAGAATCAAACAAGTGTTTCCACAGGAAGAACCCGAGGGCAGGCGCCCACCAGAGGCAGCGGCAGGCTCACGGCCCACACCCCCTGGGGCCGCTGGCCGTCCCCCCTGGCTCTCGCCATTTATCACTCCCCCGGTGACGCCCGCAGCTCACCCTCCGGGAGCAGAAGTTGGCACACGGGAGGCTTCAGTGGTTCAGACTTAGTGCCGCCCACAGTCAGGCGCTGTGCCCGGGCCTGGCTCCATGTTGGCAGGACACCGAGGACAGGGTCAGGGACCGCAGGCCCCCACGAGCTGACCATCCTCTTCCCGGAGGGGACGGAGGGGCAGCGGGCTCCCTGGGAAAGGGGCCCACCCACATGAGTCACGGTGGGCTCAGGCTCGGGCTTGGGGTCAGGTCAGGCTCAGGGTCAGGGTCAGGGAGGTGGAAGGGGGCTGTGGCCGGGTCCTCAGCCAGGTCCTGACCTCCGTGCTCTGTGCAGACATTAATGAGTGTGAAGACGAGCGGGGGCCACCCTGCCAGGCGCCCGCCCGGTGCAGGAACACCCAGGGCAGCTTCCGGTGTGAGTGCTCGGAGCCCTACGTGCTGGGAGACGACGGGCGGACCTGTGTAGGTGAGCCCACCCCTGGGGGCCCCGCCCAGGAGTTACACATCTGGGCTGACAACTCTGGCTGTGCTGGAGCTGAGGCCTGCTTGTCCATGAGGCTACGCTCTCTGGGGCTGGGAGGGAGAAGGCACGTCCAGTGACTGCTTAGGCCGAGACTGACCCCGGGACCCAGCGCTGCCCTGGGCCTGCCTCACCCCCAGCGAGTTATCCGTGTACAGAACAGAGAGGGTGAGCGACTTGCTCAGGACCACACAGCCCGCAGGCACAGACCTGGGATTCGTAAGGTAGCTCCTGTAAAGGAAAAACAACCTGCAGATACTTGTTAATGGGAAAGACAGATTTATCCACCCTCCGGAGAAGAGGGGCGGGGCCTCCGTGCAGGCCTGAGGTTAACCCCAAGTCCAGCAAAGACCACGGTGCACAGCCAGCGGCAGAGCGAGGGCGAAGGGAAAGCAGCAGAGGCACGGTGGGCGCAGACTTGGGACGGGGTCCGGCTCAGGTCCGGCTCAGGTCTGGCTCAGGGTCGGGGTCAGGTCAGGCTCGGGGTCAGGCACGCTGCCACTGCCTGGGGCCCACAGGCTTGCTGACCGGTGGGCTCTCACTCAGACTCCGGGAGGCTCCCGAAGGCGTCCTTGGTGTCCATCGCGCTGGGCGCCCTGCTGGTCTGCGTCCTGGCAGCCGCCACCTGGACGGTGATTTGCAGGTGGTAAGTCCCGTCTTCAGGGACCAGGAGCCCACGTTCTCCCCGTGGAGGCTGGTGACCACGCTGCTAGTCCCCGCTGTGTGCGTCCCCTCTGCGCACAGGAATCTCCCAATTTTCTCTCATGTCTCACTTCTCTACACATTCTCTAAATTTTCTCGGATTTCTTCTCTCCCCATTCCCTCACTTCTCTCCTCATTCTCCCAGTTTTCGTGGCTCTCTCACTCTTCTCGACATTCTCACCATTTTCCCTCATCTCTGACTTCTCTCCCCATTCTCTCCATTTTCTTGGATCTCTCACTCTTCTCAGTCTCTCAATATTCCCCCATCTCTCGCTTCTCTCCTCATTCACTCAGTTCTCTTGGATCTCTCGTTTCCCTCTTTATTCTCTGTATTTTCTTGGATTTCTCGCTTTTCTCCTTATTCTCTCAACCTTTCCTCATCTCTTTATCTCAGTTTTCTCCCATCTGCCCCTTCTCTCCTCATTCTCTACGTTCCCTCGAGGCGCCGACAGTGATCCTCAGGGTGCGCTGCTCCGGGAGCCGCACCTGGAGGAAGACGGGGCGCGGGGCTGCCGCTCGCCGTCTGCAGGAGCAGCTGCTGCCCTCCTCACCTGGAAACGCTTTCTCCCAGGTCCTCGGTGACGGAGTCTGTGTCCCCACATTGTGACGATTGTTCCTGGGAAGCCGCTCTGTGACGATGAGGACGACTCGGCCACACCCACCCCTCTGGTGTCTGCAGAGGAGCCAAGGGGCTGAGATGACCCTCCGGCTCGTCACCACCCGTCAGCGAGTGGAAGGCGGCTCCGCGTGTCGGGGTCACTCCCACTGAGCCCCGTGCCGGCCTCAGGACCAGGGACCCGTCGGTGCCAGCCTCGTGCCCTCTGCTCACGGGGTGGTGTCGGCTCTTCTGCGTCTGTGGGTCCCTGGGGGCTGGACTTCTGCCTCGGACACTGTGCTAACGAACAAGTAAGAAGCCAGCATCCCCCCCCCCTCCCGCCCACGGGTCCCGGAATAACCAAGCGTCGTGGCTCGGAGTCCTGGCAGCGTGTAACTGGGCCACGCGTGGCCATCATGGGTAACAGCTCCGTGAGCAGCCCTGGAGGTCACCCTGAAGGTCACCGTGCCGCCCTTGGCTGGCGGAGGGATCATCGGGTCCCCGCGTGGAGGGAATTGACGTCACAGCAAATTAAGGTTCAAAGAGAGGTGACCACACAGTCACAGGCGACCCTGTGGCAGCCGCTGGCCGCTCAGTGGACAAACTGTCCCCAGAGCCCCAGTGTCCACGTGGGCTGCTGTTCTCCTCATAAACCCATTCGGGACGCATGCACTGTCCAGGGGGAGGACCAAGGCTGGCTGTCCCCGGGACAAGACTGGCCTTCCCTTCATGACTCAGGCAGGCGGCGCCACCTGGTGGCCGATGTGGGGAGCGCAGGCATGGCCGTGGCATCCTGACCCAGGGCCTTACCTTCTGCCCATCATGTCCCCTCCTGTCCCCACCGGCCTCTTCCCACACCTGCCTCTTCTTCCCGGAGACACGGCGCCACCTTGTCACTCAGCCGCCAGCCCCTCCGGGTCCGGCCGGTTCACGGCTGTCAGCGCCAGGAGAGTCTTCTGTGATGAGAGGATACCGTTACCATATACACAGGGTCCGACACTGAGATTGAAAGGAAAACAAGGATCAGTCCGTAAAACATTTAAGCTGCTGGGTGATTTAGCTTTAACACAACTGCTGATAGAGTTTATGTCTGTCTTTTTTTAGACGCCTCTAGGGCCTAACGGTCAAATTTTGTTTTAACGGAATATTCTTTAAATCGTTTTGAATTTGTTTTTAATTTGGAGAAAGAACAGTCTGGATCTGTGCACGCAGCAACACAAATTGTGAAAAACAAAAGTAAAGGTCTTATTAAAAATGGCATCATTAACTTTTTTCTCACCACAGTCGTCTGAGAGCTTTCATTTCTGTTCGCATTTCACGTGGTTGTACCTTGTGGTGGAGAAAAGAGCATTATTAAAGCTTCATCCCTTTAGAAAGAAAAAGATGATTCTGCACGTTCTGCATTCTCCACAGGCGACTTGGCCCATTTCGGTCGGCTTAGAGCGAGGCCGGAGGTCAGGAATATTTACCCTGAGTCGTACGTCTGCCAGGGTGGCTCCCCAGCAAACAGCGGGGTGGAAAGTAACACAGTCTGCCCCCAATTAGGGCAAAATACCAATGTCTCAGGTTCTCGGTCTGTCAGCAGAAAATACAAAATGCCGTCAGACTGGGTGAAATGTTCGCCAAGGCAACTTTTAATGAAAACACGGTCGTTTTCGTGTCAGTGCACACTGAGAGGCAGTGGGTGGGCCCCGCCCAGGGGGAGAGCAGGCGAGAGACCAGGGCCTGCGGGTCCCCGGGCATCACCGTGCCCACACGGCAGGTGTGTCTTTGGGCTAAAAACCCAGACAACACGGGAACCTCAGACCCAACCAGGCCCCGCAGGGGGTACACGGATGGCCTGAGTCCATGTCTTACTGGCCCTGCTGGGCTCAGAGAACCACTGGTGCGTCTATAAAAGCAAAGCGTACAGCCGACGTTCGTTTATTTTATTTGCACGAAGGAAGTTTTCTCTCGATGGTCACTCGGGGAGGGAACCGGAGAACCAGGCTCACACAGTGGCTCTTCCTCCGCAGGTCAGAGAGCGTGACCACTGTGGTCCCTCACCCCCACGTCCACCTGGGACGCAGGCGGCTGCCTGGGTGTTCACACCTCACTGTACATACACACATCGTGTTTGACACCGTTAGGACGTAGGTCAGACTTGAGAACTTTCAAAAGTGGGAAAAGCCCGGCCGGTGTGACTCAGAGATTTAGAGTCGACCGGTGAACCCGGAGGTCACAGTTCGCGGTCAGGGCACAGGCCTGGGTTGTGGGCTCCATTGCCAGTGTGGGACATGCAGGAGGCAGCCGATGCATGATTCTCTCATCATTGATGTTTCTATCTCTCCCTCTCCCTTCCTCTAAAATTAAAAAAAAACACCTAAACCGAAAACCTAACCCTAACACAAAAACGTAACCCTAACTCTAACCTTAACCGTAACTGTAAAACCTAACCCTAAAAGCTAACCCTAACCCTAATACTAAAACCTAATCCTAATGCTAAAACCTAACCGTAACCTTAACCTTAAAAGCTAACCCTAACTCTAAAGTTAACCCTAATGCTAAAACTTAACCCTAACCCTAACCTTAATGTTGAATCCTAACCCTAACCCTAAAAGCTAACCATAACCCTAATGCTAAAACCTAATCCTAATGCTAAAACTAAACTCTAACCCTAACCTTAATGCTGAAACCTAACCCAAACTCTAAAAGCTAACCCTAACAGTAAAACCTAACTCTAATGCTAAAACTTAACCCTAACCTTAATGTTGAATCCTAACCCTAACCCTAACCCTAACCCTAACCCTAACCCTAACCTTAACACTGAAACCTAACCCTAACCCTAAAACCTAACCCAGTGGTTCTCAATCTTCTGGCCCTTTCACTACAGTTCCTCATGTTGTGACCCAACCATAAAATTATTTTAGTTGCTACTTCATAACTGTACTGTTGCTACTGTGATGAATCGTCATGTAAATATCTGATATGCAGGATGGTCTTAGGCAACCCCTGTGAAAGGGTCGTTCGACCGCCAAAGGGGTCGCGACCCACAGGTTGAGAACCACTGACCTAACCCTAATGCTAAAACTTAACCCTAACCCAAACCTTAATGCTGAAACTTAACCCTAACCCTAAAAGCTAACCCTAACAGTAAAAACCTAACCCTAATGCTAAAACTTAACCCTAACCCTAACCTTAACGTTGAATCCTAACCCTAACCTTAACTCTAAAGCTAACCCTAACCCTAATGCTAAAATTTAACCTTAACCCTAACAGCTAACCCTCACCTTAATGTGTGAACCACATCCTGCACGGTTCAGGGTTCGGGATCTGGAGAAGGGCTGTGCAAATGACAGCGACAAGAAATAATAATTTGGAAATTGGGGGGCCAGGCGGAAAGCCCAATCCAAGTGGAAGGATTTCCACCGGTGCCCAGGCCTTGCCAACCGTTTATTCAATTTTGGATACACATCTAGCTCTTAGGCCGGCAATTCTGGTAACAGACAATCTTAAAGGTCAGTAAATATTAGAAAGATTTACTCTGAGACTATTTGGTCAGGAAATTGCTTGAGCCCCCATTGTCTTGACTAAACAATTGGTGCATAGCTCTGGCCCTTGCCAGGGGCTCAAGGTTCACCAGCTTTCGCTCTTTGTTTACATTCTCTGATAGTGAAGACAATGGGTGGCTTCCAACACCTTAACACTGAAATCTAACCCTAACCCTAGCCCTAACCCTAAAAGCTAACCCTGACCCTAACAGTAAAGCCTAACTCTTCACTGTTTTCACCCAACCACCAACCCCCTTCCCTCTGGCAACCATCAGTCTGTTCTCTGTGCTTATGAGTTTTTGTTTGTTTTGTTTTCATTTTTTCCTCAGATTCCACAGAATCCACAGTGTGTTCTCCTACTCACTCATTTCACTCGGTGTAATACCCCAGGTGCACCCATGCTCCCAAGTGTAGAGTTTCATGCTTTCCTGTTGCTGTCACATTCTATTGTCTGTGGGCACCACATCTGTGGCCATGGGGCAGGTGTCATTCAGGGGCAGCTCTGAAGTCAGAGCTGGAGGCGGGGATCAGCCGGAGGGTCAGCAGCTGTGGGACAGGCTGTGAAGGGCCTGGAAGACCCGGGAAGGGGCTTGGGGACCTGGCCTCTCCCTCCCCCACACCCCTCCCCCAGCCTCGAGGCAGCCCCGCTAACACAGCAAAGGGCGCTTGGTGACAACCTCACACTTTTTAAAATATACATATATTTTATTAATATTTTACAGAGAGGAAGGGAGAGGGATAGAGAGTCAGAAACATCGATGAGAGAGAAAGAGAAACATCGATCAGCTGCCTCCTGCACATCTCCTACTGGGGATGTGCCTGCAACCAAGGTACATGCCCTTGACTGGAATCGAACCTGGGACCTTTCAGTCCACAGGCCGATGCTCTATCCACTGAGCCAAACCGGTTAGGGCACAACCTCACACTTAAAAAAAAAATTTTATTCTTTTTTAAGAAGGAAGGGAGGCAGGTGGGAGGGTCAGGGAAATCTTCCTAGAAAAGATGACCTCAGACTCTAGTCTTTTTTTAAAATAGATTTTTATTTATTTCAGAGAGGGAGGGAGAGGGAGCGAGAGACAAACATCAATGATGAAAGAGAATCATTGATCGGCTGCCTCCTGCACGCCCCCCACTGGAATCAAACCGTGACCTGGTTCGTAGGTGATGCTCAACCACTGAGCCACGCCGGCGGGACCAACCTCCATGCTCTACAGTGGGATCAGGCGGAGGGCTGGGTCCAGGGCACAGAGAGCCGGCCACTGAGCCGGGTCCCTGGGGGCTGACGAGCGGCCGTGGCTCGTCCTGGTCCCGGTCCCCTGGCCTCTGAACAGGACACTCAGCATCCTGACAGCCGTGCTGCGCACCGTGCAACCACACACCCCAAAGGGAATCGTTTATAGCTGTGCTAACAGGGCAGAAGCATAATCCCTCGTTTAATATTTAGATTCAGAAATACTTGAGCCACAAGCTATATGAGCACCTACTGTGCGAGCTGGGCAACGGGGCCGTCCCCCCTGCCCCTCGTCCTGGGGAGACCTGCCCGGCCACCACGCCGGCACCAAGCACCAGGGAGGCTTGGAAAGAAACAAACTGTCACTATTTACGCCCCAAAGTCACTGTAGAAAATCTAACAGAATCATTTGTAGAGCTATTATTAGGATTAGTAACTGAATGTATCAGGATTTTTGGATATAAAGTCAACACCCAAAATTCAATTGCATTTCTATATACAAACAACACACAACTAGGGAGTAAATTTTTTTAAAAAAGTGTTTACAACAGCATAACAATAAGTCAGAAAAATGTGCAAAACCTTTAGAAAAGACCACCCTATATAATAAAAGGCTGATACGCAAATTGTCCCCTTGGGAGTTCGACCGCTTGCTATGATGTGACTGACCACCAGGGGGCGGTGCGGAACAAAGGAAGGGGGCCGGCCAGCAGCTGGAAGGCCCCGATAGGCCTAGGGATGCTACCCGTGCATGAATTTCGTGCACTGGCCTCTAGTAAACATTATAAAGAAGTAAAAAATAAATGTAGAAACACTTCATGCTTGTGAATGGGAGGATTAAAGTCGTTAAAAATTAACCCGACTTGAGGACTCGGGGGCAGTGACCATCTGTGTGGACGTGGGCTGAGCCGGGCACTGGCCTCGCTTGGTATCTGCGACTCTTCCGTGGGTCCGGAGCCTTTCCTGGGGGGTGAGCGCGGACCCGCCTCCCGGGAGCAGCTGCAGCGAAGGGACCAGGGCCCCAGGCTCAGTGCTACCCGGGGTAGCCTCGCCGTCTGCTCTTGCCTCCTGGCCCCCAGCTGACCCAGGCGCTGTGCTCAGCGGTGTTTAATCTCCTGCGGACAAGGAGGTGCGGCCGTGGCTGCTGCCCGCGGGCTGTCCCCACCTGGCTGGTCGGTTTTCCACCCGCAGCTGGAGGAGAGGAGCCTGGGAGACTCTGGGAGGAACCCGCAGAGCAGCTCCGGGGGCCAGGCTGATCCTCAACTCCAGCTGCTCCCACAGCAACGAAACACCAGACTCCAGGCTCCCAGGTGCACGGCCTCCTCCTCCTACAGAGACGTGCCCATGGCAACCGGCCCTGGTGGAAGGTTCCAGAAGACTGTGATGGGACCGGACATCCTCTCCGGTTCCCGGACTCTGCGGGCCACCAACGTCCTGTGGAGCAAAGGGGACACTTATAACGGCAGGAAGTCCGATTTCCCGGGACATGGGCCCGCCCGGAGGAGGCACCGGTCAGC